TCCACCCTCTCCTCCACCATATTGTCATTCTACTCCAAGACCAGCTTGGAGGCCAAGGACAATTCCAGGCTCCCCTTCTCCATCACCAACTGGGTCCTCCACCCACCCTCTCATGCCTCAGGGCTCTGTCCTTCCCCTCCTCTTCAATATCTACATGCTTCCACTTGGTGACATTATGCACAAACATGGGGTCAACTTCCACATGTATGTGGATAACACCCAACTTTATCTCTCTGCCTCCACTCTTGACTCCCAGGACCACTGCTGTCCTAACAGAATGTCTGCCTGACATCAAATCCTGGATGAGCGAAAACTTTCTTCAGTTGAATGTCAACAAGACCGAGGCTCTCCTGATTGGCTCCCGTCAGTGCCTCCACACCTCAGGTGCTGACAGCATCACCATCCAAGGATGCGCAGTCCATCTCACTAAGCCACTGCCTCACCCAACCTCTGCTACCTCCTGCAGTCAAGCCACGCTCTCCACTCAGCAGCCTGCTTCATGTCCATCCAACCGGCCCTGCCGTTGGTGGACAAGCTTTCAATCATTCTGCCCCTGCTTTTTACAATTCTATCTTGGAGTCTCACCCCCTCCCTACTTAAAGCTTAAAAGCCTGTTTCTTTCAACCGTGCTTTAGGTTACTTCATCTCATCTCACTGAGAGTGCTTGAAATGAGAATGTCATCTGCAGTTACACAACAGGAGAGGGAAGAAACAGGAAGAGCAGGTACCACAAGTGTCCAGTATATACACAGTGCTTGATAGAGACAAAGACCATGACACAGGCAGGGTAATCATGAGCAACAACATGGTGCTGTGGCTCCAGTGGCCTACTCCTGTTTCAATGTCCCTGTGCCATTAGCACAATTACACTTGTGAATATTAGCAAACATTAGCCATTATAGCAATTATCATTCAAATTTGCCAAAGAACAAAAGGAAATGGAAAACACAACACTTCTACATATCCTGAAGGCAAAATGTTTTTGTCAAGTGAATTGCAGAAGTGTCAGTGATGATCTAGTCCCCTTTAATGGGTTTCCACTGGAGAAATCCAACAACACAGGCAGAAGCAATGTTATGGTAATTGTAAAAGCAGATCTGCTGAAGTGCATTGCCATATCAATTATATTGCATCAAACTTCTGTAGACACAAGCCATCGCTCTTTTGAAGGCAGGAAAGACAGTAATGGCTTTGGAAGTTGTTAATTTCCTAAGTAGTTTTTGATCAGCAGTTTTAAGTTAAACTGGACTCACCGAAGGACATGCCTAATCAAATTAATCAGAATAGCAACCTGAAAAGGACAAAGATTAAAGTCGATTACTCCAATGAATACTTTTGTCAATTGAAATGTTAAAAAAAATCAAGCTTTAAGGAAGTTTTAAAGAAAATGCAGAATTCAGGAATCATAGCACAGGAGGAACAAGAAAGATGATGCTGGGAAAATCAGATAATAGAATATCAGAAGAAGATTGCTTAGGCTGAATATGGCAACTTGGCTCTGAATAGATGTAATTTGCATTTGGGACTTGCACTTGAACTATAAAATCTTGCTTTAGTAGATAGGTACTATGAGAAGGAAGGCAAAGATAATCTGATTGTTTCAGTTTTATGCCAATACAACTGTGTGAAAGTTGCCAGAGGGTGTATGCGATTGGAATGAATCAATGTGTTGTCCACTATCCTCCATCGCCCAGAGTTCCTCTTGATTCCATACCTGAATAAAGATGTAAAGTTGTCCCTGGTAATCATAATGGCTCTTGGAAGAGTGCTTTGGTTCTCTTGATTCAATTATTCACTTCCTCGAAAAGTTGTTTCAGTAATTGAGATAACTATAGAATAATAATTATATTTTCTTATTCAGGAAGCAGTCTGATTAGTTTGGTTAAGCAATTTAATTGCATTTTGAAAAATATGGATTTTTTAAAATATTGAAATCTTGGGTTCATTTTGATGTTGTGCAAATAGAATCAATTTGCTTGCAATCTGGATGTAAGAAAATGTAATTCATTACAAACAATATTTAATCAGAACATTTTGAAATTCTCTCATCAGTCACAAGGTTTGGCAAGTTAATACAAATGAAAAGGTCAATTGAAAGAGTGAATGACCCTCCTCCCCTACCACGGTCAAATAGCTTTCATTTATTGTCAAAGCTCATTTGAATAATGGCCACTTGGGTGAAATGACAGAGGGGTAACTGCCGCCTATGTAACCATATTCCAGTAGGAAGAAAAAATAGGCCAACACATCTTGGGGGGAAGGCAAAGAAAACTGGGGGCGGAAAATTAATAATAAAAGTACCGTGTAATACAATTGAAGCAATAGATTATTTTGATAGTAAGCCTGTGAATAAATTATGGTAATTGTGAAATGGGTTGAGGGGGCGGTCAAAAAGAGCAAATGTTTTTAACACCAATTACTCATATGTCATTTGTGGGAAACATCACAATAGATTTTATATTCTGTTTAATTACCTTTTTTTTAGCTTCTTCCCCCAAGTTATTTTGTCATATGTTTGAGCTGGGTGTCAGCCTGGCTCAGTTAATAGCAGTCTCACCTCTCAGTCAGCAGATTGTGGATTAAAGCTCCACATTGGTACATTGAGCTGATAGTCTTGGTTGACACTCTAATGTAGGGCTGAGAAGCATTGCATTGTTTGAGGTACTGTCCTTCAAATGACACAGTAAATAGAGGTCCTGTCTGCCTTCAGGTGGACATTAAAGATCCCTTGGCATGATTCAATAAGAGAAGGGAATACCTTCCAGCATCCTGGCCAACAATCCAGATAAAATTGATCATTCATTTCATGGCTGTGTGGAACACAGCTGCGAATAAATTGACTGCTGCATCCGTGTACAAATACACAGTAACTACATCTTGCTATAAATTATTGTGAAGAGCTTTGAGACATTTCAGTGACGTGATAAGGCATTGTGTTACATGCAAGGATTATTATGTTTGGGAGATTTTCCATTAACAGCAACTGAAAGGAAAATATATGCTGTATTACATAAATCAGCAGTACGTACAGAAAGTATAAATAGACCAATAAAATCCAAAGGTACTCACTTGTTATTCCTGGGGTGGTGCCTCTGAACATAAGAGATTTTTCAAATGTCACCCTCACCCCTAATGTTGTGATCAGCAGCTTCTCGGTGGAATGGTGCAAACACAAACACACACATATTGTAATGCCCTTTAAATCATACACAGCGGCTATTTTAAATAATGTTATTCATTCCCATGATTAAAATGTTAACACTCCCCTTCCCCAAATGGGGGCCCCTTTCACTATTATTCTTGTTATGAAGACAGTGCTGCCTCTGAGGCAGGGTTGCCTTCCTCTGCCGTTGTGTTATTTGGTTAATAGTGAATCGTGGATACAAGGTGATTTTGCATTTGTGTTTCTCATTCGCTTTATTATTATTATTATTATTATTATCATCATCATCATCATCATCATTTCAGTGCACCTGGATATCTTCAATGCCTTGGGCACGCTTGCAGTTCCCTTGTCCTTCCCTCCAGGATTACTGACCTGGCACACAGGCTATTTTTAGCACCGAATAGAAATGGTTTCAATGACTCAGCTTGTGCTCTCAGGAGCTGCCAGGCAGAGAGCCCGTGTGAGCAACGCTGATCATTAACCCCCTCCTGATGCCCCCCTCCCTGGTTTGCACTCTGCTTCACTGCATGCTGTTTGCTCGGTGGCGAGGTGACTGGTGGCAGCTCTTGTCCTTGTCCTTGTCCAAGGTGCTGATTGCAATGGTTGGGAATCTCAACCCTCCACTTATTGGTGCAGAATTAATAATAAAATCGATGGGAGTCTGGGAGCCCTCAACCACTGTTATTAAAAAGTTCACCAATTCCCCCCCCCCCCCCCTCCAACTTGCAGTCTTGAACACCGATGGGAGATATGCAATCCATATTTGGGGGCTATTTGGGAATTCAGTCCCTGATTTAAAAAAAAATAAAACATGCAAAGGAAGAGCTCGATTTCGGATGCACATCAGAGGCCACAAAGTGCACCGTGGAAGGAAAACCCATTTAAAACGACTGCTGAAGGGGGGGGGGAAAGAAAAGAAGGGCTTTTAGGGCCAAATAATTCGGCACGTGCAGGCGACTGAACATCAGGGAAATGTTTACAGATTGCAAAAGTGCGAAAGAAAAGCTTTGATGCTTTGCGGTGCAACTTCCCTCAAAATGACTCGTTTCTCGACTCAAGTTGCAGACGGTACACTATAAAATGTATATATGTACATTACATAGATTTGTGTATTTTATAGTTACCGTATGCAACTTGGATATATGTGCAATATGGATATATATATATATATGTGTGTGTGTGTGTGTGTGTGTGGGGGTGTGTGAGAATGTTTATTATAACCTGGAATGGAAACCAAGGGCAGTCCTTCTGCCGGAGGCGAAAGCAAAGCTTGTGGACACAAGTGCGCGATGAGAACCCGGAGCGCATCGGAAACGGGATATATATTTCAAACGCTCCGGAGTCAGGAGTGCGATGAATAAATAATTCATTGGAGCCGGGAGCTGCAGTTTAAACGCTGATGTCAGCGCTTTTTTTTTTTTTAGTGCAGCGGCGTAGCGCGGTGGAGGCAAAGCAAAAGCGCAGGGCTGGGTTGCAAAAAAAAATTTTTTTTTCCTTCCCCCCCCCCCCCCCTCTCCTTCTTTATTTTCCGATCGCACATGACTGTGTCACAGGCAAAATGCGCACTTCGGACGGCCACTTTCTGTTGCTCTGTGCGGCCATCGGGATCGGCTTATTACCGGGCGCTGAGCTCAGGAAAACGAGATGTCCGTCTCCGTGCAGTTGCACAAAGGACACTGTTATATGTGTTGGATATTCATCAGTCCCGAGGACCATCCCCAGTGACATAAACTCCCTGTAAGTAACCCCAGGACCAGCCAGTCCAGCGCTGCATGAAATAAAACAAAGACACGGGTGGGGTGGGGGGGGGTTGGGGGGGGGTTGGGGTGGGGGGGGGATAGGAAAGGCAATCGAGGATGCAAAAATGCTATTATCGCGGATCATGTTTTTTTTCCAACACTATTACACAAAAAAAAAATCGTGATAGTAAGGCAGTCGGGGGAAAGGTTGGGAGGGAGGCAATCGAGACCCTATTGGACGTGCAGCAGATTGGTAGCTCCACATTGCACCCTCACGTACTAGTTCCATCATGTGCAACATTATTCTGACAGAATGCAATTCGATGGCAGGGTTTATTTTAGACTTTTTGTGCAAAATGACTGGGTAAGAGCTGTGTGATGGTCGCTGCGAGTTTGGTTACATTAATACGGAGCAAAACGAAGAGAGTGGGGGGGGGATGGGGGGGTGGGTGGGTGGGGGGGGGGGTTCCTCATCAACACCCGCGTGATGTTATACTGGCCATGAAATGTTTATCACTCAAATTCATTTATCTGATCTGTTTTCATTTCTCGCTCTGTTTTCACAAGGTTTCCTTTTTTTTTTATTTGTGAAAAGGCGGAATTTCTGTGTTAATCTGCACGCAGCTTAGCAGGTCCTGTGACTGCTGTTAAGCAGAAGACATGATCAGTGGGAAACTAACTGCAAAGAAAAGGGAAATAACAGAAGTGCCAAAGACAGGCACAATTGACCAAAGCTGTGCAGCACAAATAATTGTAGGAGGCAATCTTTTATAAAGGCAGAGGCCACAGTAACTTATTACAATAGGACACAGATCATAGAGATTCCACAGTAGGTTTACTCTATTATTGTATAATTTTAAAATCAATATTTACTGCCAGAGACTGTGGTAGAGTTTCTGTTGTATCAAGGTCAACCTGATACTGGTGAAAAATCGATTGCATTCTTTTCATTTGTACTTACTGTGCCCCCAGGAGCTTGGTAAATGCCAGCTATCGGGAATTGGCAGAAGGCATGTTTTCGCACTTACCGTTTTTGCAACTTCTGTGAGTATTACCCTCACCCTCCCCTCTTCGTAAGGCAATTGTATTCAATACAGTTATGTTTTGGTAAAACAAAGTTATCTATAATAATAATAATAATCCTTGTATTTAATACAGCGCCTTATCACGTCTTTGAGATGTCACAGCGCTTCACAGAATATACTGTAAAGTGAATTGACTGTATATAGACTTAATTAATAGAAGACACAAATGGACCATGCTAATTCTGAACAATGGTGGATGACGATAGCAAGAGTCAAATCTTCCCATTACCGTTATAGGAGTATTGTGCATATAAGATGGTAATAATGGCTGGGGAATCAATGATCTGTGATAATTGACTTCTCTATTATCTATTCAGTCAGCGTTCTACGATGCGGGAGGTGGTTTGCAGCCAATCTAATGCTACACAAAGTATCAGCTAAACCTATTGAACTTTCCAAGTGTTCCTGTAACTCAATTGGTTATTGTATCAGATGGTGAAGCATAAAGTCCCAGATCTGAAGCTTATTCTGTGCTGGGGTGCCAGTGGGGCTCCACACTTAGTTTCAAAATTCCTGATTAAAGTAGGCGTATAGAACTAACCATGGTTACTGGTCCTGACCGTTATTCTTCTGGAAGTACCCGTGTGTGGATGCTGAGCAAGAATGGTCAGGCTTGGGTGATTTCATAACCTGGGTTTGTATATTCTGCAGACATGATATACCCATAATCTTGTTGCCTATCAATGTTTATTGGCCATGATCACACATGGTAATTGGCCACTTAAGCGAGTCCTGGGGGAAGCTGCTGTTCCTGAAATCACATTCCACCTTCAACCATTATCTTCAGAGAGGGATAGAAAAAAATGTTTACCTTTTTACAGCCTCTCATCATGTCAGACCATCTCAAAGCACTTTGCAAGCAATTACTGACCTATGTAATGACTGTTTTTGTAGGGATTGGCCGCAATCATTTGTGAGAGCAGCTTCCCACAACAGCCATGAGGTAAATGACTAATTGATGTGGAATATTTTTGGCTAGGACAGTTGGTGAAATTCTCTTTTTAAATTATGTAATGGGATCTTTAATGTCAACCACGAAAAACAGGCAGATGGATTTTAGGCTCAATCTCTCATCCAAAGGATGGCATCTCTTGAGTTTCAACCTAGATTATGGGCTCACATCCTAATGTGGGATATGAACCCACAACCTTCAAACGCAAAATGCTACCAACTGAGCCAAACTCCATCAATTAGATTTAAAAAGAGAGGGATAAGAAGGAATAACCTGGAGGAAAACTGATCAGGCCAGAAAGTAATGTAGAAAAATATTAGAGGATACTTAGTGTTGGAAAATTGTATGCTTTATAATGTCATCACTACGAACTTGAACAATTCTACGGGCTAGAAATAATGGCCAGTAAAAATGATATACTGTTGAATGATTGGAGCATGAAAATTTTATCAAGAATGAATACAATTTTTATTAAGGCTTCAAAACGCATACCTTCCAAGTGGTTATCGTCTGCTTAGGTTGACATTTGTAATAGTTTTAATCCTGATGTTTATTTTAAGTAAATTCCCTTGCCATTAGAAATGGAGTACACAAATGCTTGAGATATAGATATACAGTATATATATATCATACAATCATAGAATCTTACAGCACAGAAGGAGACTATTCTGCCCATCATGCCTGTGCCAGCTCTTTGAAAGAGCTACCCAACTAGTCCAAAGTATCCAACTAGTTTTTTTGTATATATAATCACATTATTATATCATGATTCACGAGGTTGAACGGATATAGGATAGGTAGGCACAGAAAGATAACATATGGGTTTTTATAACTGTTGTAAATACATTTTGAGGAAAAAGCTAGCATGCATGAAAAGTAGGTTCACAAGGATAGAGCTTAAAGATGTGATGGTTGCCAACAGAGCTTTGCATTTTGCAACAGAAGACATTCAACACAAGCTAAGACATCTAAGGGCCTGGGAAGTAGACCACAGATCATGTAAACACACTGGAGATGACCTGAAGGCTGGGGTATGTAGGTGCAGAAGAATATGCACAGCCTTAAGAAATGGGAATGGACAAGTGAAACATTTTAATATACTGTAGTTCCCTGCTATTGTTCAGTTGATAACGTTTTCATAGGAAATTTTACATAGGATTTTAATAACTCTAAAGGAAGACATTATCTTATTTTATAAAAAACATATCAAATATTACCATTAATACATTCATCCTTGCATAAGAAAACTGGCATATAACATGCCCACAGAAGAAGAAATGGTGGTGGAGTTATTGGACTCAGATAGTTGACCCACAATGGTGGAAATTATTGAAGCCTTGGGGAGTGGGAATTTGTACAATTGCTGGTTTCTTCCCCTAAGCAGCCAGGTACTGAAAACATTAAGACATAGACTACAACATACATACAAATGGAAAGTATGAAATTGTCAGTGTTTTTCATACATGGGGCAGAAATGGTATCTGATTGAACTAGGTAAAAGCTGTAAAACCTGCTTACACCCCACTCATCTACCCTCTTCCTTTGTTCAGCTGGCTCCGGCCTTCTGCACATCCCTCCTCCTCTCCCCTCCACCATTGGTGGTTGGATTTCAGTCATTTATATATATATGTATATATATAATATATAATAATAATCCTTGCATTTGATATAGCGCCTTATCACATCTTCGAGACATCTCAAAGCGCTTCGCAGAATATACTGTAAAGTGAATTGACTGTATATTATTGTGGGCAAAACGCAGCAGCCTACTGAACACAGCAGTGTCTCACAAACAGTCGTGGATTGAAGTGACCAATTTATTATCGTTATTATTTTCTTAAAGGAATTATTAACCCCAGAAAAGCGATCCGGCAATTGGCTAATAACCAGGTTTCTATTTACTGAAAATCTAGAATTCTCTGCCTCAATCCCTCCACCTTATTCCCTCCTTACCCATCTTCAGATCACACCTGAAAACCTTCCTCACCGACCATGCCTACAGTCACCTCCCCTCTGCTGCTCAGCATCAAGCTCTGCCACTGTTAAGTGCTCCTTACGCTACCATGTGTGAAGGGCACTATATAAATGCAAGCTGTTGTTTCTCCCATCATGCTGAAGGTATCAAAAGGCTGATAAGGTTTGGGGCAACAGCTGCTAGAAAGCATTAGCTGGAGTCCACATTTATGAACATACAGTGCTTCTAGCACTTGGAATCCACCATAATTAGCTTGCAAAGAGGTAAACTGCTGCTATTCAAGCTCCGCAACTCCAACTGGTGGAACCATCGCTCAATGGGAAAGGATGTGTATCCGAGCTGTGGGCAGGAAGATGGTTGCTTTGCTCTCACGCATTTCGTGCTGAGCTGTGTGCCCCACCAGGAAGCTCCTTCCTGTTACCTGCCATACATCTAGTGAGGGCTTAACCCCCAGTTTGTGACTGACCTCCTGGGGGGTAGGGGGGGAGTGGGATAGATAGGGTCTCTCCAAAGTGGCATGGTTGGCATCAGAATGTCAGAATGGAGCCAACCCTCTGTGGTGGGATCAATATTCCAGTTCCTGAGCCAAGTGGGTCTGCACTACTCTATGGCTCCCCAAATTTATCCATTGTTTTATGCTTTCGGCAACTTTATAGGGGCAACATTGAAATATAAAAGCAAAAGGATTTTGGATCTTTTGTTAACCACGTAGTTGTATTCAATATGCCAAATTGAACTATTTTTCGATAACATTCCATCTTCCAAATATTCTAAGAAAAAGAAGAAGTGGAAAATGTTGTTCTTTATAATTAATGGAAAGTCTCTTTGAATTTGCAAATTTGGGGGGAAAGCCATTACTCTAGCCCAGACTTCCCGTTCAAAGAGAACCATTTCTCAACAAAAATACTCATAGAAAAATCTGGCTATCATGTGATGTTGCATAGCTAATACATCCTCTGGATTAATGCCAGGAATGAGGATTGCATCTGCTGGCCCAGTTTTTCCATCCTCTACCAAAGTAGCTTACAGCACAGTATTCTATTCCAGGCGAACAAAACTGTACAGCCTACATCCCATTGTATTTATGCACATTGTTCACTTTACAGTATATTCTGTAAAATATAAGACATCTCAAAGACGTGAAAAGATGCTATATCAAATGCAAGGATTATTATTATTATTGTTCTGCTTTATATTGATAAGTGCAGAGAGAACAGTCAAGGCACCTTAACATTTGTTTCAGAATACTCAGCTGGTAGCACTCTGATCAGAAGATTGTAGGTTCAAGCTTTATGCCGGGACTTTGATCTCATAGTTCAAGTTGACACTCCAGTGCAATACTGGAGCAGTTCTGCATTATTGGCAGTAGGTGCTGTCCTTCAGATGAGATACTATTCTATGTCCTACCTGCCTGTCTGCAGACCCCTCTCTGCCCACTCCCAGCTTGGGTTCCCATCCAGCACTGTGAAACACTTTGAGACATCCTCCCAATATGAAAGGCACTATGCTGTGTTCTCCTACAAAATACACAGTCATTCTTCTTTGCAATAGACCCTATGAAGCAAGCGCTTTGATATGTTCTCATTATTTGAAAGACGCTGTATCAGATACAAAGTTTATTTTATCATGAGACAAGTCTAAAGAAAAATAGTCCTCACTTTGTGGTTCTTTATGGACATTGCTGATTGCAACTTTGCTGCACATTTGTCTACAAATACACAATCACTATACTTGATTGTAATTACCTGTAGAGCACTTTGAGACAACAACACCACCAACTTGCATTTATACTCTGTCCTTCATGCTGCGGGGTAGCGTCTTGGAGACATTTGGATGTTATAGGTGTGATGCCAAATGCAAAGATTACCCTGCTTTAATGCAGATGTAGGTCTCCTAATGAAGTGGTCATTAGACACAGACTGAGAGGATATGCACAATCCCATACAATCAATAGGGTTATTTCCAGCAAATGCTCTTGAACCTATTAGCACTTCAGAATGATGAGTTATGGTGATGACCTAGGCGAGTATTGAGCATTAATGTGTAAAATGGATCTGTCTCAGCTAATGTTAACAATGAACACATTCGTGGATTAATACCTTTTTACACTAAAAAAAATGTTGCCTTAACAGATTGTTTAGTGGCTTTGTGGATACCATCAATTACATCCTGCACTTTGGAAAATCTGTCAATCAGGTCAAAAGCCTTCTGCCTTTAACTTTACTTTACCAAATTGGTGATTGAAGTGTATGAATTGGTAGACTTTCACTGATATAGTCTCTGATACCCAATGCAAGGCATGTCAGACTTATCAAGCTGAACTCCATAACATCAGTGATCAGAGCATGACCATAACTGCAACTAGAATTATATTGGAGTGGATTGATGTGCTCCCCATCTAGCCTTGGCATTCAACAACAACAAGAACCTACATTTATAATGACACATTTCATGTAGGATAATATCTCAAAGCGCTTAACATGTAAAATTGTCCAGAATTGTCAAAAATCTTTGTCAGCCCATTTTCCATAGTTCTTAAAAACAACCGGGGCTTCCAAATTAGGAATTAATTAATAAATTTTCTATAAATTTGTACATTCTTCAATTTTAAGACAGGATGAAGATTAAAGATGAAGAATAGGTGGAATTTTGGACCTATTGTCCATTTGCAAAAAACAATTTGATTAATCATATCAATCGTGTGAATTTTAGGCATCGGAAGCACTTATTTTTAAGGTTCAAGCAGGATAGCTGTTTAGGCCACACATGGCTGTCAGGGCTTCTACATTACCAGATGAAGTGGTATCATGCTGGCCAACCTTGATATTACCAGCCTTATCAGGCTGCATTAAAGTGTATTAAATAAATTTAGTCAAAGATAATATCATTGTCCCTTACAGAAATTAGCTGATATCTTTCCTGTGAAACCTTTGGAATTTACTGTCCACCATTGAAGCTGATTTTTTCCCCTCTGGGAATTATTAAAGTTCAAAAATTAGTTTTCCAGCATTTGCAAAATAATTGTTACGCAGATACGTTTTAAATAGTCATCAATCCAGAGATGTTTCTTATGTAACTTTAAAGTTATAACCCCTAAGCAAATCGATATTGATTCTTTCTTGCAGCCTTCTGAATTCAAACTCATTCACGTTAATAAAAGATGATGCCTTCGCTGGGCTTTCACATCTAGAGTATTTGTGAGTACTTTAGTTTTCATATTTTTTAAGATAATATGTTTTCCTCGGTGTTTGTAAGAAATGTATTACTCAACCATTTGAGGTACTGATTGTTCCCACTTTTGCAGATTCATTGAAAACAATAAAATTGATTCTATATCAAGATATGCTTTTCGAGGTCTTAGAGACTTGATCCATCTGTAAGTACCTAATGCAATTAATTGTCAAAGTGTATAAGTATAAAATATTTGTGAAACTAGTTTTTCAATAGAAAGAAACAAATACGTCAGAAAGAGGCAATATTTTTTCTCAGAACTGAGGTTCAAATCAAAGGAGATTATTTAAAAAAATGATTGTTTTATTTCCAGTTCCCTGGCTAACAGTCACATCAGATCATTACCAAGGGATGCTTTCAGTGATTTGGATTCTCTTCTTGAACTGTAAGTTTCTTACTTTTTTAGCAGTGAAAGATAAATTTGGATATTGTTGGTTTCGAATATGAAACTCTTTCTCTGTTTGATACGTTTGTAAATTGTAATTCTGTTTAAAGAAACCAGAAGGAGGTTATCCCCAGCAAGGCTCAGTAAGTCATCTCTGTGTTGATTCTTCCCACTTTTGCCCTTTTTTTCAAGATTGTGACAATTTGCCTCTAGAAATTGCTACAATGATTTGCTCCGTGTGGAACTCTGGCCAAGAACAAGCTAAAGTCACCCAATGAGTCGAATCTGGCAAATTATCACATATTAGGGTTGGCAAGAACTTCCATTATAAATTGGTTATTAGCATTTACACTACATTTCATGAATAAACACAAATAAATAAGCATAAACCAAACTAAAACTCTTCCTGCTACTTGTAATCAAACTTACTTAGAGATGTTTGATTCCTTGCATAAGTTCTGACAAAAGGTCATCGACCTGAAATGTTAACTCACTTTCCTCTCTCCATAGATGCTGCCTGACCTGCTGAGTGTTCCCAGCGACTTCTGTTTTTATTTCAGATTTCCAGCATCTGCAGTATTTTGCCTTTTACTTGGAGATAAACTGCATGGAAGATCAATGCTCAATAAGTATGACTGTTTGCTGTGCATTGTGCAGTTGTTATACACAGAAGGAGGAGTGTGCAGCAAGCCTAATATCAAATCGGGTGGTTTGAACCCATTTGTAATTTGAACTAAAATCTAATGTGTCTCAGAAAAACTGTGTTAGGTTTTCTGCAGGGTTTTCACAGCTGGAAATGATGCGATCGCGGGTTGGAGGTGAGTTCTCATGGGTCATCATGACATGAAGCCGAGCTCCCTGCAGGGGATGCACTTTACCTCCCAAGACACTTTTTCTGATGCGAAGCACTAAATTACCCTGCTGCTTTCCCAACTAGTGCTCTTTCATTTTCATTATGTACCGGAAAACATGCTTATCCTGAAACCTGACCTGTGCCATGCGTCCATATTCTCCACCAGATGGAGATTTGTTATTTAGATTAATGGATAACATCATTTTCACATATTTTACATTCTATTAAAATTTTTATAAATATTTATTCAGCATTTTCTCTAACTGCCGTCTCCTTTATAGGGATTTACGAGGAACAGACCTACAGTGTGATTGTAAAGCCAAGTGGCTGATTGGTTGGTTGCAGACCACAAATGCCACAGTCTCTGATGTTATCTGTGCTGGCCCACCTGAACATCAAGGAAAGAAGTTAATAGATTTAACTGCTTTTGACTGCTCAGCGACAGGTATGCTGTTTTCTAAAAGCTGCCCAAGAAAGTCTGAATGAATTACAGTACAGTTTTGAATCAAAGCCCAACTGACAATTGTAAAGACTATTGGGTTCAAATTGTGGTTTTCCTAAACACATTCCATTCTTTATTTGAAATGTGGTTTGAAGTACCCCTCCTTTCATTTTACCAATTTTTGAAGCAAGGTGGCATCCAAAGGCTCTGGATAACATCATCTTGGATTTCTGCAGATTGGGGATAATTTTGAAATATTAAAAATAGTCTTTGCAAGTTTATTGAGGGGATACGATCTTAACTCTATCTGAACTAGGGCGGTACTTGATGAATAAGCCCACAGAGAAATGTTCATGTGTTTGCAAATGGCAATGGAGGCCCATGTAAATCTTTAGTGAGGCTTGATAAGTTACCTCCAAGATAGCAACACCTAGGGCTTTTCATTGCCTTGGGAACTCCCATTATTCCGATATTGGGGGATGGATTATTTCAAAATATATTTTATCATTCCAAACAGAATCCATTCTTTCCTTAAATAAAGAATGGAATAAGTTTAGGAATACCACCATTCTGATCACAACGGAACAGTTCTCGAAAAAAAATCCATGTTTTTTTTCTGGTTCCTTATATCTCAAACTTCAACCCATTAAAGACCATATTGCTCCAGATTTACGGTTGTGCTCCTCACTCCTTGGTCCTTCCTTTCCTGCAGTGACATCCTCTTGAGTTTCCTTTTGAATAAATATGAATTGTCCTGCAGATTAGTGGCAGAGTATGCCACACAATGACATCCACACGTGAAGATCTTTCCAATCTCATGTTCAGTAAATACATTATTAGCTTTGAAAGCATCCCCTTTCGCCAAGGGGGATACTATCTTAAATTAATTATTCAATTAAACATACTTATTAACTTTAATTTTATCCGTCTTATTTCAAAGGCATGATTTATGTATGCTTTTACTCTTCATTTTGATTACCCCAGTCTGACTTCTAAAATGATCAAATTGTAGAAATTTCTCTTTGTTGCTCTTCTCTTCTCTGTAATATTACTAATTAATTTATGTCGCTTTGAAATTAGGAGACCAAATCTGATTATAATATTCCACATTCAGTCTTATGATAAAAGCCTTGATGTCCAGCGGTTTCTTTGGTTTCCCATTCATCCACATAACCTTCATCTCTACATCATTCACAACCAAGTGAGACGCACCAAGTGATTTCCATGATCACTGGCTCTCCAGAGGCAAACACTTACATTGAGTTCCCATCTAACAGTCATCTCCTGTTCAGCTCCAATCTTTCTGGGAATTGAGACTTCAAAATTTAAATCTGGTAAGATTGTACTCAGTTTATCGAAGATTTGCCATTTCCTTGTGATTAAAGTGCTGCATTTCCCCAGCTCTATCCTCTGCAGGGTGGTGCTCGCATTCATACCCTGGTTGTTTCCTCAAAAGGAAAGAGGGAAGATGATGCGCTACTTTAGAGTTGATCATTTCATAATAATAATCCTTGCATTTGATATAGCTCTTATCACGTCATCAAGACGTCTCAAAGTGCTTCACAGAATATACTGTAAAGTGAATTGACTGTATAATTTGTGGGCGAAACGCGGCAGCCAATTGTGCACAGCAGTGTCCCACAAACAGTCATGGATTGAGTGCTCCATCCTATATGAGGAGAGAGTTTAAAGTGATTCCTTGCTGTGCATATGATCTGTTGTAATACAGTGCATACACTGCATTCACTTATTTTCCTCTGATTTGTTTTGTTCGACTTAATTTTTTTTCAATTTCGCATTTAAAGACCAAGGTAACAACATAAACTTAAATATGCCACTCAGTGTTCGTGGTGGAATAATTGAAACGGTGTGATAACATTATTGTATGATATATACATCTTTTTCATTGTGGCTGTTGGTTCATTAGCAGAAAACAACTCAGCAAATAGTAACATGAAGAGAGGAAGCAGAAGCAGACATGGGTCACAGAGGTTCAGAAGTAGTCCAGAATTCCAGGCATCTGTGTAAAATCATTAGGCATGTTCCACAGATGTCTTCACTGTGCCTTATTGTTGTTAATATTGATCTGGGTACCACAGTACTTTCTCTTCCATATACATTTCGGCAATCAATATCTTGTAGATGTATTGGTGCAAACAATTCAATTGTATTATTAGCAAAAAAGTTTGACCTTAATCCTAAGGGAAAACTCTTCTTTTCTACAGTAATTGAGAAGGAGTTAAAAGGTCATGTAGCATTATTCCCAACTCCTTTTAACGTCTGGTCGAATGAACCTGCTGATTGTCAGAATCTGAAAGTTAAGGTGGTGGTTCATTCATGGATCTTCTTTTGTAAACAGGCTATAAGATGGATTTTTTGTTTTTTTCTACAATTTCAACTGTGCAAATAAGGATTGCTATTCAAATACTATTCTTGGGGTGGTGGGGGTGGTGATGGTGGAAGCAGGGTCTTCTTGGGACTGAGATGGATCCAGGTGTTGTGCCTTCTAATGGAATATCAGAAATCCATCATCTGTGGTGGTCTCAGTAGTTCAATTCCTGATGACAAACTGGCAAGTCTGGCTCATCAGCAGGACTTGGAGGGGCAGACTGGAGTATGGATTTTTCCCACTCAGTTCCTGTTAACCCTGCAAAGCCAATTATGGGTAGAGTGGCCGTAGCTGTACAAGGAGAGAGAAGCTTACCAGGGAGTGTTCTCAATGGCATGCTAAGCGATTTTAGCTGGTTAAAGTCCAGCAATACCCCAACACACATTCTGAGATCGCTAACCTTTGGTGCCAACCTGCGCCTCCAGAAATAGGTGCAGGGAGAAAGTGTGTAATTCATTCCAGACACAGGGAACTTTGCCACATGTGGCTGGCATTTGTAGAACTCTCAATCTGGTTTGGATACTCGTGGTGATGGCTTTCAGGTGCCAAGTACCCCGCTGACCAAAACATAGTAATAGAGGAAGGACGAGTTAATTCACATGTGATTCCAACAATGGTCCTGGGGAAATTAAGGAAAGAAGGGCAAAATGTGGCTTCCTGAATTCAGAAAGAAAACATAACATAATAATTGCTAAAATATCAATTCTAATTTTACCAATGTTTGAAGAATCGTCTCTTAATAGTTTATGGAGGGAAAAACATCTGGGCTAAAATAATCAAAGGCAGATGTGTTACTCAACATTTACAGAAAGCCTTGTGCTGAAGGTACCACACATCTGGGTTGCCAACGCCCTAAGTTGAGTCTCTCCAGATTCACTATTTCTTGCCTGTAGTAATCCTTTTATACCCCTTAATGTCCCTGTTGATGGAGGTAACAACAGCTTCCTGCTGAGAAAGTGCTGCACATTCCCTGGAGCCCATCTCCACCTTTGCGCAGAGCTCCAAGCCGCCTCTCCGAGTTAAGTGCATTATATGAATGCAAGATGTTGTTGTGTGATGGGAGAACCTGTGACCTCCTGATCCCATAATGGGCTTGATAATGATCAGGTGTGCCTCTGTCTTCGCTGTTCTCCTTTGTGGTGAAAGCCAAAGACCTTATCCACCAGTCATGATCCCCAGATATGCTACAATATTTTATAAAGCTCTCACCACCTTTGTAAGTAGGGTGTTGTTGGACAATGTTGGGCAGAATATTTGCTGTGTTGTAATCAAAAGGAGTGACTATTCATTAAATGGGAGAAAAGATAAATTAAATATTGCGATATATACCTATTATTGACCTATATAATGTGAATTTTTTTGTTATATGCAGAGTTCGTGGTGCACCAGGTTTTACCCTACCAATCTCTGTCTGTGGACACGTTCTCTTTCAAAGACGACATATTTGTAGCAATTGCACAGCCAAATGTGGGAAACTGCAGAGTGTTACAATGGGATCACATTGAAATGAATTTTAGAAGTTACGATAATATCACTGGTACGTATGAATCTCCATTGACAGCTGATATAAATGTGTATATATATTCTTATCATAATTGGTCAAAGCTGAATGATTCAAATTATGATTACTATAACATCTCATACTACAAATACAAAGGAGATTTGGCATGTGTAGAGCCTAAAGGCAAACAGGCATAGAGTGGCTATACAGTAAATCTTTATCATCTCCTTTCACATTCTGTCAAGCTTACCATTACTTCAAATTAACAACCTTTCCATAGTTTAGAAAGTTCTAAAAATGTCATTGCTTTGGTAACATAGTCTAGTCCTGATCTCGGGATGTCCCAAATTCAATCATAATTTTTGTAGAGTTAGCTGAAGCAGCAGTGTGGACACTAACATTGGCCTCAGTGCTGCCAAGTTAGAGATGAATAGAAGCAGCAGATTGATTACAATCTGTTACCTCTCCCAGACTGTGTGCATTTATAGACATTAGGATAAAACTGGATCAGGTTCCTGTGTGTAATTTCCATAGTGAAATAGTTTATTATTCACCTTATAAGATCACACATGAAATATGTTATCATTATTTTTATTATTAATTATCAGAACAGAAAGAAGCTATTCAGACCAGCAAGCCTGGACCACCAGATTATTAATTCGCAACAAATCTTTCAATACCGTTTCACTGCCCTTCCTCCTTACCCATTTTTTAATACTCTTAATTCCCAAGTATCTATTTCCCCTTTAAACTTCCTAACTTGTTCCACCTCTGGGAGAGTACAGTGTACATTTCTGCATGTCTCTGTGTGTAAAATTCTTTTCTGATCTCATTCCTAATTGTCCTAGCCATAATGTTAAGATAGCATTTGAATTGGATGCCTTTACTTGAGGGAACAGTCATCTACTCTGTGGCTTGTCAATTCCCTTTATTATCTTAAACAACAACAACTTGCACTGATATAGCACCTGCCACGTAGGGTACCATCTCAGATGGATGTTAAAAATCCCATGGTAGTATTCGAAAAGTGAAGGGAGTTTCACCTGGATTTCCTGAACAGTCAAAGGAGTTTCACCCGAATTTCCCGGGTTTCATCCTGATCTCCCACATAACATCGATCATTCACGTTATAGATGTTGTGGAACATTCCTGTATCAAGTTACCTGCCGCATTCACCTAAAAATGCAGTCACTCCACTTTACAGTAAATGCTGTAAAGTACTTTGAGACTTTTTAATGACATGATAAGGTGCTATACCAAATCAAGGATTGTTATATTGTTACTTAATTTAGTACAAATGATTTAAAGTAAATTATTAATTTGTTAATCATCCAATTTGACTAGGAACCAAGAATGGTGTGAAAAAAAATCACCCACAAAACACACTTCACTCCACTTTATAGTATATAATATACTCAGAAGAGAAAAAAGGATATGTGATTTGATGAGCTATTAAGGAACAGGCTTAATTGCCTATAAATGAGAAAGAAAAACAAATCCCAGAAAGAATCATAGGATTATAGAGTATTACAACGCAGAAGGAGGCCATTTGGCCCATCGTGGCTGCACTGGCTCTTTGGAAGAGCTACCCAATCAGTCCCACTCCTCATCTCCCCTTTAGTTCTTTTGCCAATTATCTTAAAGAAGAGCATATCTGAGAAAGATCAGTTTCTTTTCCAGTGCTGAGCAGTAAACTGTCAGTATTTCTAATTAAACAACTTCAGGAAGTGAATTAAAACAGAAATCTGTAGGGAGAAGGGTCGATGGACTGTGTCCACTAGAATTTTGTTTCCACATCTAGAATCAATAATCCTAGAATAACAAGAGAACATATAGATGGTATCTTGAGTTTCAAGACATCGCTTAAGATTCAAAGAACTGGTGACAAGAATACAATGACTCATGACAACTGTGAGATTATCAGTCATCCAAAATTAGCCTTTCATTGAACTGCATTGCAGCTAAGTACAAGGTGATTAAAAAGCCATGATACCATTACAATGTCTAATAAGTCTTAAGGAAATTATGATATTTTAATTTTTTTAAATAATAGGGTAGATATCCCGACTTTTTGGTCACCCTGTATGTGCCTGGAGCACTCGTTTTACAGTGGTGCAGAGAAGCACTCACTGGGAAAATCATAAATTCCTTTAAAATTATATCAGTTATACTATATTGATAAGTTTCACCCATTTTAATTACTTTCTGCCTGCCTGCCTGCCTACCTGTCTGTGTCTAAACTCACCCCGCTCCTCCACCATGCATGGTAAGTTTCACAAACCAGAGAATAGGCATCTTCTCAATCTCTGCCAATGGAGCTATTTAATCAGTTATTATGAATAAACAGCCAAAAAAGTGCATGACCAATTTTATTGGGTAATTGTTGGCCAGGACACAGGGAGAAACTCCCTTCTCTTTTGCAGATTTTAATCAACACGTAAAGTGGAAATATGTGTAAAGTGTATGTATGTGCATAAAGGGAGCCTTTGAAATACCACAACCGAACGTCCACCTAAATAGGCAGATGGGAACTCAGTTTAACATCTTATCTGTCATAACATCTTACATAGCATCTATACTGAACTGTCAGTTCAGACTATATGAGTTCAAAGTGCTGACTTAGGGCTTGAACCCATAACCTTCTGACTGAGGGGAGAATACTACCAAGTGAGCCAGGTTGACAGCCTATGACTGGAAACCATATCATAATAGACAATACTATTGGTGACTAAAACTTATATACTTACTATTTCAAGATTGGTTAAGTTGATGGTAAACTGGGATGTATTTTGGCATATATCTCAGGGAGTAGATGCTTATTAATTTGTTGCTGTTCCCTTAGCATCTGATATATTAATATACCATCCTGATTTGGGGGTCAGAAGGTGCTCGGTTTAAATCCTGGCGACTCCAATGAACCCGGCACACTTTTGGAGTCAATAAAATGAGTAGCATTTCTAACCAATATATTGTTGGAGGGTGGGTGAAAGAAGATAAGCAAGGTCTCAATTACTTGCTTCAAGGAGAGACAGTGATCCAAGGTGTTGTTATTGGCTGACCAAAATATCTGCCTTATCAATGAGACTTGGAGGTGTAGATATGTTCTCAACCCTGCACAATAGCATTAGCCATTACCATTGATTCACTCTGGAAAATATATCTCAAGTAGAAGATCGGCAAAACACAAAAATAAAGATAAATTATACCAGTCAACACATATTTCCTTAAAAAGCAAAGCAGTTTGAGATGTTCGTTCAATGTGAAAGATACTATTTAATTGTCTGTATTTCACATACAAGACATGAGAAAGTTCATATCCTATTTTTGTTTGCTAAAATTGTATTGTAAGTGATGCAAAATAGTAAAGCTTAAAGATGTGGGAGAATAATACGTGGTGACTCCTGGTGAATCACAGATGTAACTTTCCACAGAGCTGAATGTTGGTTAATCAGCCCACTGAGTCGTGCAGAAGTGCTTTTTTTCTGAGCATATTTTCAAGGCTTCCTTCTGTGGAGTAGGGCTATCGAACCTGAAACAGGAAGAGGCAACTGAGATAGATTACTTGAATAATTTAGCAATTGATAATATCAAAAGCAGATCACATCATGTAAACAGTGTACCCAGCAAACAAAATAGCATATAGACCATCTCTTGTCTTGTACTCGAAATTCACAGATGTATATTATTGCTTTACAAACCCAGCAATTAATGTCTATTTGTTTCTTGCTGCATGAACTTTGAAGAATCGTTAACAATCAAACTACACATTGGAATTAAAACAGTATAGCATAAAGCTCATGTGAAAGTCCCGCAGCATGCTATTTCTCTGCACTGGATTAGCCCCTTACTTAGTGAGAAGCTATGGCACCCTGTCCTTGGTACAATGCCAGATATTTCATAAAAATCTTTTATGCCCACTTGTGCTTTGAGTGGCCAGGAAATTTATACTGGAGAACTGGAAACAAACAGGAAAACATCTTTCCAATTGTGGGATAAAATTTCCTCTCAAGTGAAAGTGCTCAGATGTTAGTGAGACATGTTTGGGTCTTGTATTGACTCTCATACATTCTGTGAATGTTTAACTTTTTTGTCAAGTGTTATAAGATTGTTATAAAAATTGTTACCTCTAACCTTCCTATTTATGGATTTTGATACTCCTGACATTTTTAGGCATGATGCACTAAGCTTTTATTGCCTTCAACATTATTATTATTAACATTGTTACTGGCGACTAGCAAACAAAGTTACAGTTCGGACTCCTGTAGCTCAGTGGTTAGAGAACTTGCCTTGCAAGCGAGAGTGGGTTCGATTCCCGGCAGAGCAAAACATTGGGCAAGTTTCCTTACTCCACACACCTGATAATAATCACTCAAGAAAAATAAACAATAATAAATTAGTCAGTTCAATCCACGACTGCGCAATTGGCTCCTGCGTTTCACCCACAAACATACAGTCAACACTTTACAGTATATTCTGTGAAGTGCTTTGAGATGTCTAGAAGACATGAAAAGCGCTATATCAAATGCAAGGATGATATATTATTTATTACAGTTATAATTCTTTCTGAGTAAGGAAGTCTGTTGAAACACTTCTGCTTTTCTGTTTTTTTCTACGGGGTCCTGATTTTGGCTTAATCTGAAAATATCTTGTTATTTTTCTAATTTAAATTTCTTGTAGTCTTTTTGATTCCAATTACCAAAATTTCAATAAAGAGAAGGGATTTTCTCCTGGTGCCCTGGCCATCAATCCTCCAAATAAAATTATTCATTCATTTCATGAAGTTTGTGGGACATTGCTGTGTGCAAACTGACTGTCACGTTCACCACACACACTACACTTCACAGTAAATCCTGTGAAGCTCTTTGAGACGTCTGGACAACTTAATATACCAAATGCAAGGCTTATTATTTTTATAAGTATGTTGCTGAAATGACACACCATTGACCGACAACAAATCCAGTTATACTAAAGCATTTTTTGGCAAAGGAAAACATCGTTAAAATTAAACTTTTATTCATCAAGATAAAATTAGCCAAGTGGAATATCTTAAAACTCCATGGACATCTGAAAAGCTAAGATCACATACTTACCTTTTGTCTGAGATGTTCTGGAATGTGGAAGGTTCCTTAAGTTTTTTTCTGACATTATTTGAATTTTCAGTACTCCTATAATTGGGGAGTATTGACCATTGGAATCCTTGTATGTGTTTGCGTTCATTAAACAGTTTTAGCTTTGAGAAAGGAATGTATATTATTGTCTTTATTCAAATGCAAATAATGTGAAATAACAGCACTGCAGTATTTTTACAGGTCAGTCAATAATTGGATGCAAAGCAATAGTCATTGAAGATCAAGTCTTTGTTGTAGTTGCACAGCTCTTTGGCGGTTCTGTCATTTATAAATACGATGAAAGCTGGACTAAATTTGTGAAATTTCAAGATATCGAAGTCTCTAAAATTTCCAAACCAAATGACATAGAAGCTTTCCAGATTGACAACGAATGGTTCTTTATCATAGCAGATAGCTCGAAAGCTGGCTTATCAACAATATATAAATGGAACGGAAAAGGATTCTATTCTTATCAGACTATGCACGAATGGTTCCGAGATACTGATGCAGAGTATGTCAACATTGACGGAAAGTCACATTTAATCTTAACAAGTCGGTCACAAGTTCCAGACATCTTTCAATGGAACAAAAATTCCAAGCAGTTCGTCCAACAGAGTGAAATGCAACATATGGAGGATGTTATTGCTGTGAAAAGTTTTAGAATTGAAAGCGACCTGTTCATTTGCCTGACTAGATTTATTGGTGACTCTAAAATAATGAAATGGAATACAAAGGAGTTTGTAGAAATACAAGATCTGCCTTCACGAGGATCAATGATATTGCAGCCTTTCTCATTTAAAGACCGATATTACCTGGTAATGGGAAGTGACTACACTTTCTCACAAATTTATTCTTGGGATGTTGAAAATAAGGTCTTCGCAAAATTTAAAGAAGTCTACGTGCAAGCTCCTCGTTCTTTTACCGCTGTATCCACAGATAGAATGGATTTTTTATTTGCCTCAAGTTTTAAAGGGAATACACAAATTTTTGAGCATGCAATTGTTGATCTGAGTTTGTAATTTGATGAAAAGTAACCAAGATTGAACTGAATTAGTAAGATAATTATCTTTTCTATGAGAAATTCATCAATTTGCTAATTTAATCTGAATAGAAGCTGATTCAGATTCTCCTTCGGCCTTGTAAGCAGAGAAGAATGAAGGAGATTTCCTTTTAAAATATATTCTAGATTTAGAGGATAAGTATACTCTTAAAATTCTTGCCAAGAACCAAGTACTGACATTCTATGTTTGATGGCTTCCTTCCTGGTACAGACATTGAAACACCAGAAAGTCCAGTCAAACATTAAGATTTGGCAAGCTGCATTCTTCCTATACATTACCTAAACTCAGATCCAAGTTTTAAGACATTAGAATAAAGTTGTATTAAACTGTGCTGCTGATAGTATAATTTGTAGACAATGGTCTGCATTGAAGGTATTTACCAATTCAATGTTAAAATATATTCTGTTTAGGATATGCATACCAATAGTCATATGTGCAAGGTAATTACATAAAATAAATACATATGCTGAACTTTTATCTAATATTGACAATTTGTGACAGAATAAAATACTGTTCATGAATTAACTTTGTTGTTTATTGTGTTTAAATGATTATTGTATCTTACTGATGACAAGAAATAAACTGAAACATATGCCCTTTTAGCACTGCTGTCAGCCTGGCTGAGTTGGTAGCTCTCTTGCCTCTGAATCAGAAGGTTGTACTTTTAAGACCCAAATTGGGACTTTGAACTCACAGTCTATGTTAACACTCCAATATAGTCCCAGTGAGCGCTGCATTATTGGAGATGCGACATTGTAGTGTGCAAATTAGCAGTTGCATTTCCCTAGAAAATACATAATCAATACAATTTACAGTAACCCTGTTTGAAACGTCCCACCATCGTGAAAGGCGCTACTTCAGATATGAGGATTATTTGTTATTAATCGTTTTGCCCAAAAATATACAGTCAATTCACTTCATAGTATATTCTGTGAAGCACTTTGTGATGTCTAGTAGACGTGATAAGGTGCTATATGAAATGGAAGTATTATCAAAATGCAAATGCAAGGATTATTAAATGGCTGGGATGGGGGAGTGGGGGTGGTGGAGAGGAGGAGAACCAATAAGTACGCAGACCATAAATATATCACAGATGCATTACCCAACATTCAATATATTAAAACAGCCACTTGTTTAAACAGTCATAATGAATAATTCAAGGCAACACTCCTTTCCCGTGTGTTGTTTTTCTACATTTTTAAAAACAGTTTAAAGTAAACAACGTTGCCTAAATCACTAAAAGTAGTCAAAAGTGCAGGTTATGCAAAATAACCTATTTTCTAATGTACTGGATTTAAGTCACAAGTGGCAGTAAAATTGAATGGGACCTGCAAGTTAATGCATTTTTTTATAAAATACACAGTCTATACACTTTACAGTAAATCACATAAAGCATTTGAAATATCCTCCTGATGTGAGAGGAGCTATATCAAACAAAAGAATACTAAAATAAATTACATTAGTCACCTTAATTTGCACGATTAATATTCTGCATGGAACTTTGACAGTTTGTGCACACACAAAGAAAGAACAGATAGCTGGAGAGCACATGGCTGAACCTATTTTACAGAAGGTTCAATAAAAGGGAAAACAACTAGGAAATAAGTAAAAGAAATGTAAAAGGGAAGGCAAGAGAAAACAAGTTAAAAAAAACGCCAAACAACAAATTGCAATTATTTAGCACCTTTCACGTCCGAGGCGCCACATTTTGTATATGTAAACCTGCAACCCAGATTTACATATCATTTTCATGCCTCACTGCTCAAAACTAAGTGCTCCCAACTCCTCTTGAACAGCAAATCAGAAAATCCAAATACACTGACATTAGTTGTTATGTTAACCCGAGGTCCTGCCTACCTGTTCAGGTGGACATTAAACATCCCAAAGCACTACTTGAAAAGAGAAGAGAGTTTCTCCCGGTGTCCTGGCCAACAATCCCCCAAATAAAATTGGTCACTCACTCCATGGCTGTTTGTGTTTTGTGAAACTGGCTGCCACATTTCTCCCACAAACAAAATGCAGTCAAACCACGTTACAGAATATCCTGTAAAGCGCTTTGAGACATTTCAACGATAAGGTGGTATATCAAATGTAAGGATTATTATAATGTTATTACAGAAACCATGAGCAGAATAAATAGTTATTTTCCGTGTAGAGATAGAATAGTATTAGCAATAATTGATCTCATTTGTCCATCTTATTTTCCTACTGCCAAACCGCACCTGTCACCCAGTTTTACATATCATTTTCATGCCTCACAGATCAGACCTAAGTTTTCCGAACTCCTCTTGAATAGCAAGTTGTAGAATCCAAATAAATTGACATTGTTTATTGCAAACATAACTAACTTTTCTTTTAAAACAAAAACAGAAGTCGCTGGGAACACTCAGCAGGTCAGGCATAGACGATACAGTTCAAAATCCTGGTTCTCACTTTCAAAGCCCTCCATGGCCTTGCTCCCCTCTACCTCTGCGCCTTCCTAACTCCCTACCATCCTGCTCGCTCCCTCCGCTCAACGGGCTCTGGTCTGCTTCACGTCCCCCGCATCGCCTGCCCCACTATTGGTGGGTGAGCCTTCTGCCACTCTGCCCCCACCCTCTGGAACTCCATCCCGCAGTCCTTCTGCCTCGCCCCCTCCCTCGCCACCTTCAAAATCCATCTAAGACCCTCCTCTTCGACCGTACGTTCAATCACCCTCCTTCCCCCCCACCCCTCCACCCTCCACCACCTCGAACCCAGCTCGGGTCCGAAACTCTGTCTGTCCAGCGTCTTGGGGCGTCCTCCTGCCGTGAAAGGCGCTTTACAAAATTTTACCGTTGTTGTTATGGAGAAAGTAAAGTGAGTCAACGTATCAATATATCTTTTCTTTTACATTGATGATTATTACCATTGCATGTGTTGCCCCCCCCCCAACCCCCACACAGTCACTACAATTTACAAGGAGCCCTGTAAGAGACATCCTTCTGACAGGAAAGGATCCGCCACATACCAAGAAAAAAGCAATCGCGATTGTTATCATATTATTGTAATCTGTTTTGCAGCAAAACATTTGCTTAGGTTATCCACCTCCCGTGAAAGGAACTGCAGCCTCTGGTGAGTATTGTAGGTCTTTAGTGTGTGTGTGTGTGTTTGTGGGGGGGTGTATGTGGGGGGGGTGGGTGTGTGGGGTGTGTGTGTGTGGTGGGGGGTGTATGTGGGTGTGTGTGTGTGGGGGGGTGTATGTGGGGGGGGTGTGGGTGTGTGTGTGTGGGGGGGTGTATGTGGGTGTGTGTGTGTGGGGGGGTGTATGTGGGGGGGGGGTGAGTGTGTGTGTGGGGGGGGTGGTGTGGGGTGGGTGTGTGTGTGTGGGGGGGTGTATGTGGGGGGGGTGTGTGTGTGTGTGGGGGGGGTGTGTGTGGGGTGTGTGTGTGTGTGGGGGGGTGTATGTGGGTGTGTGTGGGGGGGTGTCTGTGGGGGGGGGTGGGTGTGTGTGTGTGTGGGGGGGTGGTGTGGAGGGTGTGTGTGTGTGTGGGGGGGTGTTTGCATGTGGGGTGGGTGTGTGTGTGGGGGTGTGTGTGTGTGTGTGTGTGGGGGGGGGGGGGGTGTGTGGGTGTGTATGGGGTGTTTGTGGGGGTGTGTGTGTGTGGGGTGGGGGTGTGTGTGTGGGGGGGGGGGGGTGTGTGGGTGTGTATGGGGTGTGTGTGGGGGTGTGTGTGTGTGGGTGTGTATGGGGTGTGTGTGGGGGTGTGTGTGGGTGTGTGTGTAGGGGGGGGGGGAGAGCTTAATGCATTGCTCAGGCGGCCCTCCTGCTGCAGACGGGCTGAGGACTACCCCCCGGAGTGACCTGACACCGGGAAGCGCTTCACTGTGCACATGGAAGTGAGGTATAGTTATAATAATAATAATAATAATAATCCTTGCATTTGATATAGCGCTTTTCATGTCAGGAGGACGTCCCAAAGCGCTTCACAGAATATACTGTAAAGTGAATTGACTGCATATTTGTGGGCGAACGCGGCAGCCAATTGCGCACAACAATGTCCCACAAACAGTCGTAGATTGAAAATGACCAATTTATTATTGTTTTTGGTTTTGGAGGGATTATTATTAGGCTCTGTGTGGAGTAAGGAAACTTGCCCAAGGTTTCGCCCTCTGCCTGGAGGGGGAGTTGCTGCTGGAGGGGAGGGGGAGGGAGGGGGGAGAGGGGAGAGGGAGAGAGGAGGGGGGGGGGGGGGGGGGGAGAGAGGGGGAGAGGGGAGGGGGGGGGAAGGAGGGCACTGGGGCCGCGGTGGGGACCCGCTGCTCCGCTGCCCTTTTACGCACCGATTCCTTTGACTGCGTTTGTGCCCTCCTCCTCCCCCCTCCCCCCCCTCCTCCCTCCTTCCTCCTCCTCCTCCTCCTCCTCCCCTCCTCCTCCTCCTCCTCCTCCTCCCTCCTCCTCCTCCTCCTCCTCCTCCTCCTCCTCCTCCTCCTCCTCCTCCTCCTCCTCCTCCTCCTCCTCCTCCTCCTCCTCCTCCCTCCCCTCCTCCTCCTCCTCCTCCTCCTCCCCTCCTCCTCCTCCTCCTCCCCCTCCTCCTCCTCCTCCTCCTCCTCCTCCTCCTCCTCCTCCTCCTCCCTCCTCCTCCTCCTCCTCCTCCTCCTCCTCCTCCTCCTCCTCCTCCTCCTCCCTCCTCCTCCTCCCTCCTCCTCCCTCCCTCCTCCTCCCTCCCCTCCCTCCTCCTCCTCCTCCTCCCTCCTCCTCCTCCCTCCCTCCTCCCTCCTCCCTCCCTCCCTCCTCCTCCTCCTCCCCTCCTCACCTCCTCCTCCCCTCCTCCTCCTCCTCCCCTCCCCTCCTCCTCCTCCCTCCCCCTCCCCTCCCTCCCCTCCCTCCTCCCTCTCCTCCTCCCTCCCCCTTCCCCCTCCCTCCTCCTCCTCCTCCCTCCCCTCCCCTCCTCCCCCCCTCCCTGCCCCCCTCCCCCTCCTCCCCCTCCCTCCCCCTCCTCCCCCCTCCCCGTAACGTGCGGCCGCTCGGGAGACTGTTTAGGTGTTCCTCTTCACACACAGATATCTCCGTCTCTCCGATCTCTCCGATCTCTCTATGTGCGCTCTGCAAACAAAAGGCGGTGCGGCGGCGCCGTCCGTCTCTCCCTCTCTCAGCAACAACATGACTGCGAGGCGGAGCGAGGGCGAGTGGCAGGGGATGGTCAACGAGGTGAGTGAGGCTGTGTGTGTGTGTGTGTGTGACTGATGAGTGAGCAATGATATGCACACACACACACACATGTATATGTGTGTGTGTGTGTGTGTGTGTGCGTATACATAGCTTTATTTTCACCAGCGACAACCTGAGGGCTGTGGCCCTACTGCTGCTGCTGCTGAGCCTGTGTTGGCTGCAGCTCTTGTCAGGATGGTCAGGACATGGCTGGCGCTGTGGACCTGGTCATGTCTGAGCTCCACTGGGGAGTGAGGGGGTGGGGGGGAGGTGGAGGTGGTGGGGGTGGGGGGGAGGGAAATCCTTCTCCCTGTATCTTCCACGTCAGGCTCACTCCACAGGGTCACTGCGCATACATCCTGTTTGCTGTGCTGCCTCTCCCTCCTCTGCATTCCTGCCGATTGGTGCAAAACAATCCGATAAGATTGCAGTGCCAACGGCTTTAGTATCAGCCGTGTAGGTCTGGTGTAGGTTTTTAACTTGCTCCTCCGCCCCCCATCTTCAGGCGGCCGGGCCCGTGCAAACAGCAGCAACAATCTTGCGTTTGCGGAGGTATATTTGATAGCCTCACGGATGGTGACGTTCTAAGAGGGTTATTAATAGTTCAAACTGCTAAGTAACACAAACTGAAGTCCATCCGATATCCAACGACAACAAATTACATTTGTATAGCGCCTTTCATGTCGGGGGGGGGGATGTCCCAAGGCACTGGCCAGTCAGGTCTCCGCACCCGAGCTGGGGATTGGGATCGGGGAGGGTGAAGGGCGCGGGGGGGTGGGGAAAGGATGGCGATTGAAGACACGATTGAAGAGGAGGGTGTTGAGACAGGTCTTGAAGGAGGCAAGAGAGGGGGCGAGGCGGAAGGACTGCGGGATGGAGTTCTAGAGGGTGGGGCAAAGATGCTGAAGGTCCGGCTGCCAATAGTGGGGCGAGAGAGGTGGGGGACGTAAAGCAGGCCGGAGCCCGGAGCTGGCAGGGTGATAGGAGGTTAGATGTTCACAGGGTTAGGAAGGAGCAAGGCCGTGGAGGGCTTTGAAGGTGAGGACCCGGATCTTGAACTATATCCTCTTGAGTGATGGGAAGCCAGTGGAGCCAGGTGAAGATCTTCCTGTTCGACCGTGCCTACAGTCATCTCCCCCCGGCTTGGCGTTGTGCTCCACCACTGTCAAGCGCACTGGGCTGCTATCCTGCATGAGGGGCGCTATGTAAATGCAAGTTGTTGTTTAAATAGTGCTTTTAGAAGGCATGCACATAAAAAAGTTCCTTAAAAACACACTAAACTGACTGATAGTAATAATAAACAAAAACAGAGATCACCGGGAACACTCAGCAGGTCATACAGCATCTATGGAGAAAGGAAAGTGAGTTCAAATTATTATAATTTTTTTGGGAGGGGGGAAGGGATTGTAATCTGCCAATCGACTAACAACCGGATTCCTATTCTTTATATGTGACAAGGTTTTTTTTATTCATATAAAGAATTAAACAATACCTGCTAGATGCCAGTCTGTAGTTGAATTTTTTGAATCTAATTTACTCAGGCTTTGGTCTCGTTGATTACTCTGTTATCAGAATCTCTTGGTTTAAATACTGCTATATGTGTTGCTGTCAGACATCTATTATGCTATACTAATAGGTTTCAAGAGTCCAACTGCTATAGCTTATGGTTTAATAATGTTTTTCATGCCAGCAACCATCATGCACATTGTCTGTTGTGTTCACACATCTGTAAAATTGAGGATGCGAGGCATAACATTTGGTACTTCCTGTATGAAAAGCAGACGAGCCATGACGTAAGATCCAAAAACTTTATGAATATGATATGTAACACTAAATTTCTGTTCCTTTTGATCATATCAAATGCAAGGATAATTTACCTCAGCTGATGCTGTTATTTTTCTGTGCAAATGTGTATTTCATAAAAAAATATGTTGAAAGACTCAGCATAAAAATTATTTGATTTGAGGATCTATTAGCTTGGGGTTTTGCTGTTCAGATACAGTTCCCATCATTGAGGGATTGGCATTTTTTAACCACTAACCATTAACAATCACATGAAAAGAGATTTCATGCAATAGTTACAAAATGATAGTTAATAAATGCCACAAACTTTGCCAGACTATAGGATAGGCAAGAAAATTAGTATGACAAAGAGGTTTTGTGCAGTACGAGACTCAGACTGCACTGAATTAAAGGGTAATTGATTATTTGGTGGGCTAGAGTTCTATCAAGAGTGGTTGGTGCAATCTTGAATGCTTTGATAGGACTTCAAATAAATGTGGAGTCCTGTAGCTCACTGGTTAGAGCACTCGCTTTGCAAGCGAGAGACCTGAGTTCAATTCCAGGCAGGACGAAACCTTGGGCAAGTTTCCTTACTCCACATGGCTAATAATAATCCCTCAAGAAAAAAAACAATAATAAATTGGTCATTTTCAATCCACGACTGTCTGTGGGACATTGCTGTGTGCAATTGGCTGCCGCGTTCGCCCACAAATATACAGTCAATTCACTTTACAGTGTGTTCTGTGAAGCGCTTTGGGACGTCCTCCCGACGTGAAAAGCGCTATATCAAATGCAAGGATTATTATTATTATTATGTTTTCATATTTAAGTTGTAAATTACTTCATCATAAAAATAATCATCTCCCGTAGATTCAGAGATCAGATGCATTATGTTAATCTATGTGCAAAGTTTACAGAACAATGTCAACTTGGCCTGAAATTTGTAGTTTACTGAAGGTGTTAATGAGGATGGAGCATTATGATTATTATCATTTGAACTTGTGCACTTTTGAAAATCTCATGCTTACGACCTGTGAAGGATATCACACCAGAGTTGCCTCAATTTTAGGATAGAGTAACAGTATATTTGGTAACTTGCTATGAAGAACTTTATGATATGCTGGGCTTGCTCAAATTTATCTTGTGAAAATGTTTTAATTTTGTTCATTAATTAGCATCAGCACTATGGATTGGTCTTTATTTCCTGCAAGGAGCAGCATACTAGACTCCAGTGTTATCATTACAATCTATGGGCGCCTGTTATTTGTTGCAGAGTTAAGGTGCGGGTGGACTTGCTGGATATTTGGATACAGTAGGATTGGTCTTATTGGAATGGAGACCTATAGCTCAGTGGTTAGAGCGCTTGCCTCACAAGTGAGAGACCTGGGTTTGATTCGTGTCAGGGCGAAATGTTGGGCAAGTTTCATTACTCCGCACGTATCTGTTTGCCTAGCAGTGAGTAGGAACCCAGTTGATTCTGTGATGCCCAAAAGAGACACCATCGGAGCACTATTTATTATCGTTGCTTCTTGAGATCTGCTTTTGCCCAGGAAGATTTTTTTCTAATTTTTTGATTGTCATTCAGAAGATTTCTTTTATTCACTGGTTACTTTCAGATGCTGCATAAAATGCTGCTTATAATAAACTATCATGAAACTCTGCAGCTCGCGTACTGTCCCGCACCAGGCTTCGGGACCACATCACTCCCACCCTCGCTCGCCTCCACTGGCTCCCCATCCCCCAGAGGATCGATTTCAAGATCCTCATCCTCACCTACAAGGCCATTCACGGCCTTGCTCCCTCCTACCTCTCCGACCTACTATCCCCCTACCTACCCGCCCGTACCCTCTGTTCCTCTGGCTCCGGTCTGCTCCACATCCCCCGCCCCAAACGCCCTACCATCGGTGGCCGGGTCTTCAGTCTCTCAGCCCCGAGGCTCTGGAACTCTATCCCCCAGTGCCTTCGCCGCCTCCTCCCTTTCCTCCTTCAAGGCCGGTCTCAAGACCTTTCTCTTTGACCGTGCCTTCAGCTCCCCTCTCGACTCTCTACCCCCTCCTCGCTCCCTCCCTTCCCTCCCCTCACCCTGACCATTTCCCCCCCAATGCTCGGGTCCTGACCCAACTGTACAGCGCCTTGGGACGTCCTCCCGACGTGAAAGGCGCTCTATGAATGGAATCTTGTTGTTGTTGTAATGCACTGGGGTGCTTTCGGTTCTGGTTCTAGTGGTCTGCAGTTTGTTGTCAGTCACTCCGTCTGGTATCTGCTACTTTTGCAACTAGTTTAGGCATCTCTTGGGGATCTTAGGTTAACAGGCACACAAGGTATAGCCAGAGACCCAGGAGAAGGAATAATCCATGCTGGGGTGGGTGTGCAGGAGTCAAAATGGAGTTAATAAAATAGAGATAAACTCTGGTTACTTAGTGAATTATTTATATATTTGCTCAAGGGCAACTCCTGTTTACACACTCCAGACTCAGCATTTAATCATTTATAGTTCAGTATCCCTTTAGGCTAATTCTTCCCAGATGGCATTCAAAAACCGTGTCAAAACCCCAAACTTATAACTATTTTTGCCCATATTTTAATTCAGTATGGATCTGCTTTGATAATATATAATAAAAATAATCCTTGCATTTGATTAAACACCTCTCATGTGGGGGGATAACTTAAAGGGCTTCACAGAATATATTGCAAAGTGTAGTGGTTATATACTTTGTAGGTACACAAGCCAGACAACTTGTCCACAGTAAGGTCCCACAAACGGCCATGATATGAATGAGCAATTTTATATTTGTGGATTGTTAGCTAAGACATCAGGAGAAACTCTCTTTTTTCAAGTTGTGCCATGAGATCTTTAACATCCACCTGAACAGTAAGGTATCCTTCAGGTGTGACTTAAATTTAACATCTCATCCAATCTGAAAACGCGCCTCCAATAATGTAGCAACCCCCCCTCTCCCCTGCATTGGAGTGTCAGAAATGGTTTATTTCGATAGAGTCCTGTAACTCAGTGGTTAGAGCATTCGCTTTGCAAGTGAGAGACCTGAGTTCGATTCCTGGCAGGGTGAAACCTTCGGCAAGTTTCCTTACTCCACACCCCCGATAGTAATCCCTCAAGAAAAAAAACAATAATAAATTGGTCATTTCAATCCATGACTGTTTGTGGGACACTGCTGTGCGCAATTGGCTGTCGCGTTTTGCCCACAAAATATACAGTCAATTCACTTTACAGTATATTCTGTGAAGCGCTTTGGGACGTCTAGAAGACATGAAAAGCGCTATATCAAATGCAAGGATTATTATTATTATTATAAATGGCTGTAGGGAGGGAGGGCTCCGGCCTGCACTGACCTGTGGCTGAGCACCCGAGAGGCAAAGTTGGCTTCATAGCAGGTATGTCTCTTTGCCAAGACCCCTCATGTGAGGATGAAGATTAAGCAGTTGGTGTTGAGTAAGCTTGGTACATTGGTCTTTGGACCTGTAGAACATCAAGGTGGATCATAAGCTGTCTTGTAAAGGTCCTTCTATGAGGTAACTTTACTGTTAGAATGGGGTTAAGCATGGTAGTGGGTTTCCATGTGTGTCAAAACAAAACTAATTTATAGGTTCAATCTGAAGCAGTCAAGGGTGAACCATATTGTTGCCTGATGTATGGTACTTTCATATCTTCTCTAGTCTTGTGTGCAGTATTGAAATTGAGAGTTATAGCTTGATTGCAAGGCAGTTTTTTTATCCAGGAAATTAAGATAACTTCATAAGGCATGAGCACTTGAGTGGTTTAGAACCATTGTCTGAAGCCCAAGATAAGAATATTGTCGCCTATCTATCGCGCATGCATCTCTCAGCCTAGTGGATGTAATGTGGTGGAGTTGAATTGGGTATGCATTTTGTCTCTTTCTGCACACAGGTTGCCAGATTGCTTTGTGCAGTTGATGCATGAGGACATTTTCACTGAAAGATTAAGGATTACGATTTAATCATTGCAAATTTATCGGGTGCTAAATGACAATTCATTGCCATAAAATAGTGCAGTCAGTGTATGTTTTATGGCTTTAAAGACAAAACAGTGAAGTCATACCATTCTTCAAATTTAGACACTTCACATGCTGTATGTGCAAATGGAAAATCTCATCTCTTTGCCCTTTTAGTACTTGGACAGGCTGTAATTGATACCTAAATCCAAGCAATAGATTTTATTGTTGTAATATAATTAGATATTTTTAGGTCCAATTTCAGAACAATTCAGACAATTTCAGCAATTACATTTCATTGTTCAGGAAACTGAAATAATTTATGTAAATGGTGAATTATTTCATAAATGTACACTATGGTAGGAAACATAATTGGGTCTAAAGGATGAGAGCCACAACAATCCTCCAGGTAAAACTGGTCATTCATGCCAAATTCTGGGAGATTGCTATATGCAAATTGTCTGTTATGTTTGTGTACCAATACACAGCCACTACACTTTACAGGAAGTAAAGTACTTTGAGACTTCAGTGTCACAATAGGTCACTATATTCTAGCTTCGAAATGCTACATAAGTGCAGGTTATTGCTGCTATATAAAATTGAAGGATCATTTTTATTCTAAGGAGATGTGTGGAGAACCAAATCCACTCTTTTGTACCCAGAAGAAGATCTCGTCAGAGCAGGATTCCCACAGGATGATTCACGTCCAGCTACCTGCAGAATTCAACTATTAGGAATGTGCTTTGCAAATACAGTACATCATTTGTGACTGCAATATTCGTAGGTCAATATTTGTTTGTGAAAAAAAAATATGTTTATAAAGAAGTCCAGAGATCTGTTGATTTGCATTTAATTTGATTTTAATTCTGTTGTTCTCTGTTTTACAGTATTTAATATGCAAAAGGAAGTTAGAGAGCAAGAAGGAAGCCTTACTGATCCTCTCCCAGGAGCTGGACACCTGCCAGCAAGAGCGAGACCAGTACAAACTCATGGCTAATCAGCTTCGAGAACGGCATCAGTCCCTGAAGAAAAAATACAGGGAGCTCATAGTAAGATGCAGTCTAATTCTACAAATCCTGGGTTAATTTATCATGGCTCGGGATCTGTTACTGTAAAGCGCTCTGAGACGCCGTCTGTCGTGGAGAGCGCTATATAAATCCAAGTTGTTGTTGTTGTTGACTCCCTGAATTGGGGGCAATCGGTATAAAAGTTAAGAATTTTTTTTAACATGTGCTTAATTAAGTTTTAATTGAAACAAGGAATTCCTGAAAAATTTAAATTTGGATGGGGTGAGAGGAAAGGGATGGGGACAATATTAACTTTCTCATAGCATGGACATTGATTCGCACATTCTTGGCATCCCATGTTTTTATCCTCCTATAAGTTCAGCCCTTTAAAATTCTTGTAACTTAGACCTATTTTTTCCAAAGTACAATTGACAGGATCATTAGGGTGATTGAAGTGTTTTTTTAAAAAAATGGGGCATTGACAAGGTAGAGAAGGAATAGCTTTACTTTCTGGAACACAAACGGAGCAATGATTTAAGAATGCAGCTGGACTAGTTAAAAGTGAAACTGGAAATATTTATTCACACAAAAGATTGCACGGGTTCCACAAGGCCATAAAAGCAGCATGGATTGATGTAGTTAAAAGGATGTTAAGGCAAATTGGGAAACAGTGGTGAAATGAGATTGAAAATATAAAGATCTGTCACGATCAAATAAAATTGCCTCAACAAGCTGAATGGAATGACTGAATTTTCCTGTTCACTCTTTCCATCTCCAACATCCTTCCTATATTTTCCCCTGAAATATAGCACTCAGCATTGATCGGTGTTAATCTGCATTTTCCACTTGTCCGACCTTTTCGCTAGAACATTTCTTTCTGTTTCCCAAAGACTGAGAAAAACGCGCCATATATGTTTATCTCCTATGTTTTTTATCACTAACTAATCGCCTTCCTTGGCTTCAACAATTCAGGTACATTGTGGTCTCCATAGTATTTAATAATCTCTATCTGTCTGTTCTTCCTATTTTAACTTTGTTTCATTTATAACTAATTATTGATTCAGTTTTTTTAAAAATGTTAATCAACACATCATTAACTGGTTTTAGTTTGGAGTCCGTTCAAAATATCAAACATTCTTTGGTGAAAACACATTTCTTATAATCTCAAGACCTTATCTGGACTTCTTAATTATGTACTTGTGTCCTCTGATACTGCAGCCAGATTTGTCCAACAAACAGCCATAAAGTGAATGATCAACTTTATCTGGGGGATTATTGGCCAGGACACCAGGAGATATTTCCTTCTCTTTTGGAACAGTGCCCTTGGATCTTTGACATCCACCTGAACAGACATACCCTGACTAATATCTACTCTGACATTGCGTAGTCAAAACTATAAAGTATTACAAATTTAGCCTTATCTGTTATCTTTGTACGCAAAGTATAGGAATTGCAAATGCACCTTATCAATAATCTTTACAAAGCAAGAATATCTTGTTTCAGTATATGAACTTGATGCTTCTTTTTTTCCACTTTGCTGAACAAATTCCCCTTTCTGAGTATTGGTGTCATATTCCTGATTCATATTCCTTTCATAACCTTAAATATAACTATATACATTGAAGTCCAATGGTGTTTCCAACCCCCAGTGGGCATGTGTGAGCATGCGAACAGTTGGGGTGGGGAAAACTTTGTGGCAAGGTTTGAAATCTTAGTAAAAAGAAGTTCATTCCAAAGTCAAAAGAGACAATACAGAAACTATTACCTCATGAAATCTGCAGGAGATGTCAATGCCACCTGCTGCAGATCGGAACAGCATGCAGAAACACTGCTAACAACATTAAATGTGCGTAATTCACACCTCCTGCTGGTTTAGTTTGAAACTATTAAACAGGATGTGTATCCGGCTGGTATAAACACATGATATTGTCAGTGACTGATTATACCGACAGTGTACTATTGAGCAGGTATGTTTTTCCTCGTTAAACTTAATCTATGCAAGAACCGGTTCTGAAATAGCCAGAGGCTAGTGGTGCCTGGACACCACCCAGCTTTTGGAGCAGAATCTAAGCTGGGGGCATTCACAGTATTTTCTAAATTGTTGCTTGAAATTTATAATCTTGAACTAAACCGTTAGGGTACCCCTTAAGCTTCTCGACTGCAGAGGAAAAAAACTAATTTTGCATCTCTGTTTTATCAAAAGAGCACCCTCACCCTGATAACTTCCTAGTGAATCTACACTGCACCATTTTTATTGTTTTTATATGGACACAGTTATTTCCCTTGCTGTGCAGAGGTCAGATGAAGACTTCAGAGGACCTCGAAGCCAAGGCTGCTGTCAGAGAATAGGCTGTAAAATAATGGGGATATCAATCATCTTAGTCCAGTTGAATGTAGCAGTTTTTGCTACAATGATTTGGGTATATTGTCAGAAAAATGCAGAAGCTCAGATTAGAAACTTGATGATGTACTGCTAAATAATACATTTAGAATATATTTGTTTTAACTTTAGACCAAAGTGCAATTTGCTTTTGTTAGCCTGCGTTTGAGCTCATAGTCTATGCTGAATCACGGGGAGCACTGCATTGATGAGGGTGATGCCCTTTGAATGAAACATTAAACCGAGATCCTACCTGCCTGTTCAGGTGGGCGTGTACGATCGTGTGACACTAGTCAAAAGAGAAGGGAGTTCTCCTGGTGTCCTTGCCAACAACCACACGCACCCCCCACCCCCGATAAAACTGATTATTTACTTCAAGGCGGTTTGTAGAACGTTGCTATATTCACTTTACAGTAAAAACAAAATTCTCTAAGCACTTTGATAAGTTTTGACAACGTGATAAGATGCTGCATCAAATGCAAGGATTATTACTTTTATTATTTATTTAATGTCCTTACATTGTCAAAGGAAACATACTGCACCAACGATTATTTAAAAATGTGTAAATGAAAGGCATAGTTTTTAAATTTTGACAAGTTTATTCTGTACACCTTTAGTTCCCAAACATGAGCTGAGAAAATTGTAATCATTTTGTTAATTTTTTCCTTCCGTTCCATTTGTAGGATGGTGATCCGAGTCTCCCCCCTGAAAAACGGAACCAGGTAAGATACGAGCTGAAAGCTCACGTTTGACCTATTTTAGTTTGAGTTCATTTCTGTTAAACTCATTCATGAAAGTTGACTGTAAATCTAGCCACAGTAAACGTCCATGGGGAATACACCTTCCCCAGCCTTTGAAAAAGCATTGCTACCTGTTTCACTATTCCACTATTTCACTAGAGTGCAATTCCCATGCCAACGAAAAAGGGCCTAAAATGGTAAAGCGCAAAATGTGAAGGAAAAAAAACACAGGATTGTGATTGAAGAAAATCTCTCAAGACAAAAATACCATCTTCGAGAGCTGATCTACTCTATTATGCATGCATTGGGTAAAATTCCACTTGGGTCTAGATTTTCTCTATTAATGTAGCATTTAACTTTGAAGTTGGTTTTCTTTCATTCTTAAAAAAAAACGACGGAAAACTGGCTTCAAAGTTAGGGCGGTATTTAAGAATTTGGCAAATTCTGTATGCTCTGAACTGTTGCTTATGTAGAGGAAGCAACTAGTGGAATTTCTAACCATGGTGCCTCCGTTGATTTTGGCTAATGGCTCTTCACTATTTGGTCAGATATTCTACTTTAGCTTTGTAGGTCACAGCTTTCAACTATGAGCGTTTAATGTGGGTTTTTCCTTTCGTAAAATGCTGCTATTCCACTAACAGCAGTAGAATGCTGCGACTTGTGAGCCGGAAATCAACTCTGACTGGTGTTTACGGATTTTGGTATAGAGAACGGTGGTGGGAATTTGCCACTGGCATACTGGATAATTCCTAATTGATGGATTTTGTTTTTAAACAGTATGTAAGATCCTATTGACTTTATTTACATTGTCAGCGCTCCGAGACACTGTCCTGCATGAAGTGCACAATGTAAATGCAAATTGTTGCCTGAGGTAATTAACCAAAATAATGTTGCTTGAATGTAACAAGACCGCTGACAAAATTGTGTCATGTGAGCATTTGTGGAGAAGATCTATATGGATTCAACTATACTTTCTTGTTCAGGCAAATCTTGCACAACTTTTGAGCAGTTCCCGAGAACGAAATAAGCAGCTGACAGAAGAAATTAAAGAACTGCAACAGAGACTGGCTGAGGCACAGGGTGATAACAAGGTATCGTTTACGAGGGAAGGAGGAAGGAAGGGAGCCATCTGCATGTCTGCTTATAGTTTGAGAACAGGACCTTCAAAGCATCTCAGTAATCAAGAAACTCACAACTTAAATAGGAAAATTAAAAAGGCTTATGTGGTGAGAGAGCAAATAGAAAAGAAATAAGTGAATGCAAGTATTTCAAATATTATGGTTCATGTCTTTGTCATTACCAGCATTGGTCCCTGTGCCAATTAACATCTTCAACCTATTCAGAACTGTACCCACTCTCTATTGCCTCAGGTTTCTACTGTTATCAGTGCTGTCTCTTCCTCCAGGTTTCAGGTCAGCAGACCTTTCAGTTCTAAGGAGTTCAGCTGCTGACTGAGACGCTGGCAGTTGTTGTCCATCACTCAGTTGCAGAATGTTGCAGCTTACTTCAACAACTCTTGAAAAATGCTTTAATACGGACTTGTACTGGAATGGTTCAGTCCTGAACTGAACTCAGTGCAAACTTGCCAATGTCAATTCTCCTCCTTTTGTTAAAATCAGAGAAATTTATGACACAGAAAGAGGGTGTAGCCTGTCGTGCCTGCACTGGCTCTCTGAAAGAACCGGCTAATTAGTCCTATGAACTTCTAAGTGTAGGTTTGACCTCAGTGTCCCCAGCTATGGCAATCTAATTGTGGCTCTGGAACCCATTTATTTAGCTCTAAACCAATTTTAAAAGGTCTTTAAAATGGTGAAAGGTTTTGATAGGGTAGACATAGGGAAGATGTTTGAGTTACAAGGAGTTGTTGAGACCAAAACCAGGGGCCATCAATATAAAATAGTCACAAATAGATCAAATAGGGAAATTAGAAGAAATTTCTTTACACAGAGAGTAGTGGGAAAGTGGAACAATCTACTACAAGGAGTTGTTGAGGCAAATAGCATAGATGTATTTAAGGGGAAGCCAGATAGGTACATGAGGGAGAAAGTAATAGAAGGTTATGCTTGAAGACTTAGTTGAGGAAGGGCAGGAGGAGACTCATGTGGAGTATAAACATCGGCATAAACCAGTTGGCCGAATGGCCTGTTTCTGTGTTGTATATTCTAATGTATTCTAATGTAATTGTTGAAATAATCTAATTGTCGAGCACTGGATATCAGTGATGAAAATTACATTTGAAACTTGTGGGCTTTGTTATTGGAATCCACAGCCTTTGGGTGGAATAAAAACATAACTCGTTCCTGCAACAACCTTACAGTTGTGATGCTCCTTCAATCTATCAAGCAATTCTGAATTTCAGAATGAGGTTTGAGAGATGACTTGTTTTGCCAATGAACTTTGTGTGAGGGCACTTAAAGTGATGTGCTATGAAAGCCCATTGATCTTCACAACCAATTGATATCAATGATCTATCATTAAAGAGCTGTTTAACACTGCTTTCAAAATGTATTGCCTAGTATATTCCTCAATTGATCTTTGATCTGTGGCCTTCAGCTTCTCCGAATGACAATTGCAAAACAGCGGTTGGGTGACGAAGAAGTAGGGGCTCGTCACTTCCCACCACATGAGCGTGAGGACCTTGTTCAGCAATTAGAAAAGGCACGAGAACAGGTACACACTGATTCATTTTCATATGCAGGCAGAAAATCTGCATGTCTTTACATACTTTGAATACTCGTCTCCCATAGGTAAGCAAGAATGCTACTGTAGTCATGACCTAACCTGTGGAGTCTTGTAGCTCAGTGGTTAAAGCGCTCGCCTTGCAAGTGAGAGACCTGGGTTCTATTCCCGGCAGGGCAAAATGCTGGGCAAATTTCGTTAATCCACACGCCTCTATTTACCTAGCAGTAAGTAGGAACCCGGTTCTTAGTCAATTGGCAGATTGCTTTTCCGGGGATATTAATCCTTCAAAAAAACCACAATAATAATTTGGTCACTCAATCCATGACTGTTTGTGGGACACTGCTGTGTGCAATTGGCTGCTGCGTGTTCCCCACAAAATATACAGTCAATTCACTTTGCAGTATATTCTGTGAAGTGCTTTGAGACGTCTAGAAGACGTGGAAAAAGCACTCTATCAAATACAGGGATTATATATAACCATTTTTGCATCACAGCTTTAAAAACGACTTTGCACTTTAAAGGATTCAATAGTTTAGTTTTGACCTCAGAGTTTTTTCATTGAGCTAAAACTTTGGGAAAAATAACAACGACAGCCATGGTGGCCAACCTATGGCCCACGGGCCCGTAAAGAAGTGACCTGCAAAAATTCACACTAGTCTAAGTGAGTCTGTTTTAAATCTGTTTTGTTTCCATTTTTTTCTTGATTATTTATGGCATAAATTAAGAAATATTCAATCAAGAACATTTATTTTATTGGCCAAATGTTGACTATTCCATTTGCTGTTTTGAATCTATGGATTCTCAATCCCAAAACCTCCAGAAAATCTGTCTTCATGATTCTTTGATGTACCCCGGCACCTTGGGACGTCCTCCTGACGTGAAAGGTGCTATACAAATGTGATTTTGTTGTTGTTATTGTATGGGGATTTGGTTTGGTGATAGAGAACAAGGCTAAATGAGATAAATTCGGACAGGTGAAAACTCAAGAGTGTAGCAAAGTTCCTTGAATGAACTGATGCATGGAATTCCACATGCTGATTCCAGGGAAGGTATTGGATAAAACCAAAAGCTGGAGAACTATTGGTTCTTTGGATTTTGGTTTATCGACCCGTGTTTCTCCACAAGCAGAATTGATAGTCTCTCCAGATATAGAAGCTTTGACTCCACGTGTTGCTATAATGCAGGTACTTCCTACCTAACCATATTCTTTGTTGTTATATTAAATATCCAGATCAATTTTCAAAAATTCTTAATTTTATCTGCTTTGCAAATTGGTGTTCAGATTCTCACTCGCTCGACAAGGATGGCTGATCAATTAGAGCAATTATCCAGTTGCCTAAGCTCTGTAAATCTGTGTGAAGGGCTATATAAATGCTAGTTGTTGTTTGTTATTGTTGTTGGTGGTGTGCGCTCCTTTTACAAAGGGGACATGTAGGATTAGGCATTGTGGTTTGCTTTTTTCTATGATTAGAAACTCTGGAGAAAAATGTTTCTTAAGAGGAAAGGCATCCATATGATTTATTTAACCTGTCAAACTGGTTATGTGACCTTGTGTGATGCAATTTGGTAACTATCTTCTGAGCAATGCTCCACCTACAGCGGAGTGATCATCTTTTTTATAAGCTTATTTAAGCATTCTGAGACGCTACCCTGAGTGGAGGGCATTATATAAGTGCAAATTGTTATAGTTGTTATTTCTGTTTGAACAAAGATAATTCCAGAATATATTTTAGGAGAAAGTAGTAAGTTCATTTTTACAGACATGAGGCTATTCTTTTAGCATTTTGTTCAAGGATCTTTTTGTAAAATGTTTTGCTCCATGGTTTAAATAAGTATTCATTTGTACCTATGAGTTGTTTCAGTATTTTTGTTTGTTGCAGATTGAACACTTAGAGCATGATTATCAGGCAGCAATTGATGAACTTCAAGATGTTAAGGTAGAACGTTCTTTCTACCAGGAAAAATCTGATCGTCTAAACCAAGAGATTAACCATATTCTTGGAGGACATGAAAATCGTATAATTGATGTGGATGCATTGTGCATGGAGAACAGGTGACTCCATCCTTCTCTAATTTATTGCAAATATCAAGTGTCCACCCAAATCTTTCTTGTCGTTCTTTATTTTATTGACAATAAAAAGTCATTGCTCCTCTGAACTTTTCTGTCTTGTTCTTCCTAACTTCAAATATACTATCCTACAATCTGTTCTCCCTGCAATTGCACTGACTCAATCAACAGTTCATAGAATATTACAGCACAGAAACAGACCATTTGGTCCACAAGATCTGCATTGATGTTTTCTCCACTTATCACATCCTATTTTACTCTAACTGATATGTTTCCATGAACTGTGAACTTGCCTCTCTCAGTCTCCCCTTCCTCCTACAATCTACATGCTTTTAGAACCCAAGCTTGATGTAATCTAACCGTTACCTCTTGAATCATATCTCTCTTACTCCTATTCTTTTCGAACATTGAAATCTATAGAAATGTGGGTTTTGATCTTTTACCTATGTTTCCTAATACAAAGTATGATCAGTAAATTCAAGAAAAACTTACTCGTATTGCATGTAAAAAATATTCCACAAATGTGAGATAAATAAAGACTGTGGCTATTTTCTGCATCAGCTCCTAACTTTGGTATTGGAATTATGTTCATTGCTATGTTTTTGAAAATTCCCTTTGCGGGCATGAAGAATGACTTTCGGAAGACCACCTTGACCTAAAGTCATATGATTTACAACAGTTGATCAAAGAGCTAGAATGAGATTTTAGTTCTGTAGTTCTATATTTAATCTACCTCTAACCTGCAAGAAGTGTAAAACTCATGGGAGATGAAGCTTCAAGTGCTGGCAGGTTTCAGGCATCGTGAGCCTCTGTGGATTTAATGGGATTTCCCATTAATGCATAACTGCCCTTTGAGGCATTTATAATTTGTTAAAAACAATTTTTATCAAACATTTTTTTTAATAAGCACATCTCATTTATGCTACATGATGGGTTCCATTTTAATTTTTCGAATGTTATTCTGTTTCCTAAATGATTTACCCTCACTTGTCTGTTAAGTGTTGGTTGCATATGGGAGTGAGTTCTTTTCCCATTATCATTTCCATAGATCAACATGACTAACTAGGGACGTACAAAATGAGATTGCCTAATTAGATCAGTAAATTTATCAAAAAGCAGAGAATACCCCACTATGTTCTCTCCTCACTGCTCAGTTAAATACAATCTCCTAAATCCACTTGATGGTCAGGTCGATGGAAAAAAAATCCTAATTTTTTTTCTTTCCACTTCACAGGTATCTCCATGAACACCTGAAGCAGATCCAGGAGGAAGTAAATATTCTCAAAAACAATATTTCTAAATACAAGGTGGTGATGACTACAGTATTTACACTTTAACCTTTTTGAATTGAAGTTTACCATTCATTTGAAACTGAACAAGATTGAGAAATAAGAAAAGATTATTTGACCCAATAAGCACTATTTACTTATTATTACCAGCAAGTAGTCTCAGGAACTCTTAGATTCTTCAAGTTCTTCAAGACCAATCCTTGCGTTTGTATCACCTCATAATCTTGCCTTATCCCTTCCTTTATAATCTCCTCCAACTCTATTCTCCTGCTTGTATCCTCCACTCTTCCAGCTCTGGTATACATCTCATTCTGCACTTCCTATGTCCCACTATTGGCAGACTATATGCTGTAGGCAAAGTTTTCAGACCTTGCAACTGGAGCTTTCTCTCCAAATCTCTTGCTTTGTGTCTTCTCACCCTGCCTTCAAAACTGTTAACCCTGTTTGACTGTACCTTTAGTCAACTCCATCAAACTCTCCCTCCTTTCCTCTCTGCCCAGTCATACCTGTTGTCTTTATGAAACACTTTCAGACGTTTATTCTAGATGAAAGGTGCTATGTTAGCACTAGTTATTGTAAGGTGGCTTTCCTGGTAGCTCATCATATGTATCTCTCTTATTCTTTGTGTGAAATAGCTCTGCTGAGTATTGTTATTTAATTCTAATTTCACACTAATATAGACCGGCTAATTTGATTGCACAATTGGCGCTAAGTCAGAAATTTGCGAGTTCAAGATCCACATTGGAACTTTGAACTCAAAGTTTAGGCTGACATTCCACAATTATACTAGGGATGTGCTGCATTGTTGGAGGTGCTGTCCTTTGGACGAGATGTTAAACCAAGGTCTCATCTGCCTGTTCAGGTGGATATTAAAGACACCATGGCACTATTCGAAAAGAGAAGGGAGTTTTTCCTGGTGTCCTGGCCAACAATCCCCCAAATACAACTGGTCATTCACGTCATGGTTGTTTTGGGGACCGGCTGTCCACAAAACGGCTTCTGTGTTTGCCTACAAAATACACAGTTACTACACTTTATAGTAAACCCTGTGAAGCAGTTTGAGACATCTTCTCAGTATGAAAGGCACTATATCAAATGCTAGGGTTACATTGTTTATTTACATATGTTTTGAACATGTAGATTCTCAATTTAGAGCAATTGAATGATTTTGCGGGATCAATGTTTATCAGTCCTTTTACTCATTTTACGTCATCTCAACATCTCCTCGTTTTTAGAGAAAACGAACATGACATCATTAACCTTTCCTGTTAACTCTGAGACTTGAGACCTAGCATCATTATATTTGTGCCCTACACTGCACCCTGGCAAGGACAGCGATATATTTCCGATTGCTGGTGACCAGTCTTCACACAGAAATGGACTAACTAGTGCCTTAAGCATGAGCTAGATTTATATATGTTATAGAACAACTGTTGTTTCCTGTATTAAATTGTTGATTATCATTAGATTTTTAAATGTAAACTAAGTCTCCGAGCTAGAAAATGTCCAACATAACGCCTGTTGCTGCTAACAAACAAGAGCTTGAAGATGAAATAGAACTGATCTCACCAACTTCGTACTATATAATATAAAGTATTATACACAGCCAGTAATCTTATTTGAGGTTTCTCATAACGGTATTGAAGTTCCCAAACTTCACTCTTGTGATATTATTTTGTTGGCTACATCTCTTGATGAGATTACTCTTGACTGGCCATTTGTCTCCATTTAGTTTCCAAGTCTTTGTTGTCAGGTACTTCAAGGCCTTTATTTTATAATGTATTCTTAGCAGCATTTGACCATTTTGATTCCTATTTTTAGATTTTAAATAGACTAAAATCTCCAAATGGCCTCTTACATGAATTGTGGCTGAGCATTTTGAATCTTTATTTACCCACATTTTTGTTTTAATGTTTTGTTGCTTTTTTAGCTACAGTACAAAGGAAATTTGAAAAAGACATCAAGGCTGACTCTTGACAGATTGTGAATTTAAAGAAAAAGCACTGGCCTAAGGTTTTTGTACAGTACTCCAAACAACAAAATTAATTTAAAATAAGTGCCTTGAACTCTGATTTATCAAAACTGAAGTAAACCACTCTTCCAATTTTGGTAAAGTTATTACATTTGTGCAAGATACAGGTTATGTCATGTCCTGAAATAACAAAACCTCTTGTAGAATTTCTTGCTCTTGTACTTTTTTTTTGCTTGCCAGCTTTCTTGCTTTCATTCACTATATACAAATACCATTGGTTTTTGATATTTAAATAAATGAGGAAAGATTACTTGTACAATTTCAGGGCAATGCTGTTCTTTGATAGGATTTTTGTTCTAAAGCTGCGTGTCTTGGTCAATATTTTCGTTTTATTGTGTTGACACACTTTTTGCACCAATGTTTGTCTAGATGTTTATTGCTGTCTTATTGTAGTGATTACAATTAATAATCAAAATGAGTCATAAGAATAAGCTGAATATTTCCACAATGCTCACAATTTCACTTTCCCAGCAGAATGCTCTTGAACGCAAGAAAAATCCAAAGTCAAGTGCCCGGAGTAACAGTAGCGCACTTACAGGAGTCCTTTCTGCTAAACAAGGTAAGCTGCAGAGGTGCAGGAAGACACGATGGAGCAGAGCATCTTCAGCTTCCTGCCTATTTGAGTGCTCCACCTCTGCCACTGTATTAACCTGAACTGCTCAAAGTCATAATTACTATTTTATTGCGCAGGAAGCCAATTGGTCAGCACCAAAAACAGGTTAATAAATGATAATAATAATAATCCATGCGTTTGATACAGCGCCTTATCATGTCTTCGATACGTCTCGAAGTGCTTATTGCAGGTTAACAGGAGACCCACTGTCTTAAGAGAGATAATGCTGTTTGAAAGGGAACTATATCAGAATTTCCCTGTATCTGATTCAGGTTTGGAGTCTTTGAAGTTAGACCCTCCAAATCTGAAGACTGTCTATGGAGAGTGAAGAAATGCCCTCCCTCATCATCAAAGCTCTGAATGGGAAATGCAACAACGACAATAACTTGCAATTAATTTGTGCCCTATCTACAGGGTAGCATGTCAGAGCACAAGTAAATGCAAGTAAATACTTGTGCAGGGCATAGAAGGGCAACCAGTGCTTATGGAGCCACAGCAAGCAAGAAGAGGCCAGACCAGGAGCAGAGGAACTAATGCTTTACTTGGACAAGCATTTTAAAAAAAAACTTCTAATTACAGACATTTAAAAGAAACACAAATGAACACGTGTTCCACCACCAATTCCAGCAATTGAATCTTTCCCACACCCTCTCCATGCCAATTACCAACAAGAAGGTTTTTGGTTCCTTCACAGAACGATTGACTTGTGTTAAGAAAGCTTCATCAGAGACAGCTCCAAGAACACATTTGTCAGCTTATAGCAGGATCATTAATGATGTGTGGTAAGAGATTGGTTGGCCTAATACTATCCACTCCATTGATCATGTGGAAGAAGGGCCTTGATTCACAGCCTTAAAACGTTAGTTAATAAAGTTAGCTGATTAATTCTTTAACTTCATAAGCTTAAGCCTCAAGCCTGGAGAGTTTTGGTCACATCCCAAGAATAATATTCCAAACTGTTATACGTATGGTTGTCTAAGCCAATTAGAATGAAATCTAATCGGATGAAATTAGTGCTTCAGCAAACAAAGAGGTCTTGCATGAGCATTAATGTATGAATGATGCTTGTTAAAAGTTTGACCCTCACTATCAGGAGGTGAGAAATCCTCCTGAGATGTTGCCTGTGTGAAGGGAACTATGCAAACACAAGTTGTAGTTGTGTTATTTCAGTTTTCTTCACTCCCTTCCCTTCCAACTCCCCTGAAAGAATTTTGACTGTTTCCTTTTGCTGAGGTATGGTTCCATGGTAACTCACCAAGCATTGATAAGTGGAATCATAGTTAAGTCCAATATTATCTTCTTATCTCCATACAAGAAGCACGTTCCTGGAAAGTTATCGAACTCAAGCTGACATTTCTCTCTCTAATCCAGGTGTTCTGAGTCTAATTTAACATTCCTAATTGAAGCCATGGCTGAGACATGAAACTTAGCACAGGGTTTATCTTTCATGGTCAACTGCAGCACAGACTAGGCCTGCAATCTCTTCATACATAATTTCACATTTTTATTTTATTTGACATTTTGTGTATGTAATTATACACCCAAAAAAATTCCTACTAATTTTGTGTTTATTGTTATTATTATAAGAATAATCCTTGTATTTGATGTAATAGCTTATCACATCATTGAGACGTCTCGAAGCACTTCATTTCTATTTTCTAATTTAACAGTAATACATTTAATACTAATTAAATACTAGTGGGGGGGCGGGGGAAAGGGTGTACAGGTGGGTGGAGAGGGGAAGGGATAGAAACCTGTAAGTTTGCTGCAGCATGTGTGAATGGCATTTTCAAAGTTAGCTTTTACCCCTCAGTTCTGTCTGTTGGAATGTGAAACTGTCCAAACTCACTTTCATTTAGTGCAAATCTTGAATTTTAATGGTAATGTTACTGGATCTGCTGTAATCTCTTTGACCGAGCCTTCAGCTCCCCTCTCGACTCTCTTCCCCCTCCTCGCTCCCTCCCTTCCCTCCCCTCACCCTGACCATTTCCCCCCTCCTCGCTCCCTCCCTTCCCTCACCCTGACCATTTCCCCCCTGCTCGGGTCATGACCCAACTGTGCAGCGCCTTGGGACGTCCTCCTGACGTGAAAGGCGCTTTATAAATGGAATCTTGTTGTTGTTGTTGTAATAGGCTTCCTTTTCTATGTCTATCCATCCACTCCAAGTCACAAGCAGGTAAGTAAATTGTGCGCTGTTGGATTGGAGGTTTAATTGGTTTGTGGATCAGTGATCAAAACACGTTTGTCTTGTTAATAACTTGTCTTTCATGAATTGAAGGAAAGATACCATAGTGACTTTAATGGCGTTCAATTTAAATGTCTTGTTGTTTGTGCAGACAGTTAATAGTAATAAAGGGATTTTTTTTAACAAGAGGCAGTGTGAAAAAAAATGTACTGAATATTTTGTTGGTGGTTCACAGGCATGCTTAATACTGTCTCTGCCCCTATTTTATTAAAATAAAATGATTTGGTAAGTAGAACTAATAAGTAGATAATTATTTGGGGAGGGCACGTTTGCAGGGTTATGGGGAGAAAGCGGGGGAGTGGGATTGAATTGGATAGCTCTTTTCAAAGAGCTGGCACAGACACGATGGGCTGAATGGCCTCCTTCTTCGCTGTATAATTCTATGATTCTATGTTGATTGATGTTCGATGTCTTTAAGGTAATTTGGTTTTAAGGAATATAACAAAATACACAGTGAATTCACTTTACAGTATATTCTGTGAAGTGCTTTGAAACATTTCAGCAATGTGATAAGGTGCTATATCAAATGCAAAGGTTGTTATTGTTAATGCAACAGGACAAGACTGTACTACACTGGCCTTTTCCTCCAGTATTTATCTAAAAATACACCTTTGATATAATTTCTTCACAATGATTTATGAAGGAGTTTTTTTAAAACATCTTTCTCAGTCAGGGTCACCACTTTTTGAGCTTTCAAGGGCTAGGAGTTGAAAAGCGATGTTCAGCTCAATTGCTATCACTATCAGTCACCCCAACTACAAGTATGTGTTTGTGTTTGGATACCTGTCACTCTATCATGTTACAGAAGATATCACACAGAACATGGTGATGGGTCATTATTTAGAATTGAAATAAAAGCGTTCACACCGATCCTCTGGATATCTAAATACGTTAATCACTTGTACTTAATTATACTTCTAAATACAATTATCATCATTTTTCCACATGTTTCAGTTGCTCAGTGTACTGTAGGAAAAAAACATGGGTGTAGCAGGACTTTGTGGACACCCTGTACATCTATGGATATCAGGTGAGGTATGCAGTGAGTTGAGCTGTGATCCTCTTGGTGAATAGCCTGCCAACATTTAGTTTCAAGGTTCACATATCAATAAAAAACACTTGGGATGAGGTACCAGAGGCAGAACAGTACCCCAGTAGAAAGAACAAGAAGTCAAAAGCATTTTGGAGGGAAGGAGATAGTGAGGTAGTAGAGAACAAAAATGGCAAGGGGGACAAAACAAAAACAGAAAAGAATTAACATCATTTTGAATCAACTAAAAACTGGTGTTAAAAAAAACTAGTTGATTTTGAATCCACTAAACTAAAAAAAAGCTGTCAAAGCTCTGTTTAAAAACGCTATCTAATGAGTGAATAGAAAAAACATTGTAGCATGCAGCTATAATGTCAAATAACAGTTCAAATATTTTTTAAATGCCAGTGCCAGGCTAGCTTACATCTTGATATGACAACCTGTGTTAAGGGACCCATTCCCATTGCTTGGAATTCGAGAAACCGTGTAATGGTAAAGAGCTCTGAGAAGATGCTTATATGGTGATAGGAATATCATGGGTTGATATGGAACAAGACTGTATGAAACAACATCATTGAAAATGCATAATAAATGCAATGCTGTGGTGTTGTACTGTAATATATTCCATCTAATTCATTCACTGTTCACAAAATGTCAGCCTTTGTTCTGCTGAAGTGTTATTGATGTTGTCACTGTTATTTTATTCACCTTGGCTGCAGTCCAGGAACTCTTGTCAGAAGATCATGGTTGCAGTTTGCCAGCTACTCCACAGTCCATTTCAGACCTGAAGTCCTTGGCGACTGCTTTGCTTGAGACAATTCATGATAAGAACATGGTTCTTCAGCACCAGCGACAGACTAACAGGCACGTAGCACTCTTTTAGCTTGTTAATCAAGAGCTCCTTGTGGGGCACTATTAAATCCATTGATTTCCTACTGGCACAAATCAACAAATTAACGTTCTTTATTCTTCCTGGCAACAAGGGAGTTGAAATATCACGTGTTTGCTTTGGTAAAAGATTGAATTATTTTCCCTCACTGTGAACTGAGCTGCAAAGCTTCCTACTGATAAAGGGTTGTTCTACTCAAAAGACAAAAAGGTTTTAATGACTGATTAACTGCTGAATGCAAGTCAGTGGACTTTATAATCTGTGTCCCATCAAAATGTCCAGCGCCTTAGGACATCCTCCCAACCGTGAAAAACAAATGTAATTTTTGTTGTTTCATCCCTACCTTTCTCACTTCTGCAGAATTCTGGGCAGTCGTGTTGCTGAATTGGAAAAAAAGCTGAGGACCTTAGAAGTTTCTGGTTTATGGAGTCTACCAGGTCTGTAATGCAGGGTTTTATCTGGACTTTTTGTTCCAATGTACAATATTTGCAAACCAAATCTGTTTTATCATTTGGAAATTCCAGGTCTTAATTTTCACGTTGTAAAATTCACAGCCTGCAAGTCATAAATTGGAAAAAAAAGCTGGCAAGAATATATAATATTAAAAATCAGGGGTAAGAAATGGTCAGGCATTTTGTTTGCTTTTATTTTTTTGGACTTAGTCATACTTGAGATTTGCGGGTCATGGAAGTTGTACTTAACACAACAATTCTACTTGCAAATATCCTAATATAGACTCCTATTGCATCAGTGCCTTTTATTTTACATTGCTGTTTCTGCTGTTGAGATTCTAAACCACTCTAAGCTATACTATTTACAAAGGTCATGTTCCACTGAACTAATTCAGATATTTGCACTAACAGTATCCAATCAAAATTGAGCCAGACATCATTGAAAATGTTAAAATATTGAACACAACTTATTATTGTATTGAAAATTGCCTTGGGAAATGTCCTTTTATTGTGTTGTATACATATAGTGCATTTTACACGCAGTAAGATTTAAATAAATCCAAGAAGAATAATTCCATCACAATTGCCTTAAGATATAACTGCAGCTAGTGAAATTTATAAAAAAGTCAATATCTGTCAGCTTTTCCAATGTTCCACATTGTTACGAAAATAATGGACGGGGAAATTACACCTGTAGCGCCCGTATGACACGGAAATTGGCCATTTTGTAGAAATATTAGAAATTAGAAATATCCTTGATATTATCCGACAAAAGTCATAAAAAATAAAAATGAGTTTCCACCAACCCTATTCATAATTTAGCAGTGACAAGCTACATAGTGTATTCCAAGCTCTCCAAGTTATTAGTGTGCTGTGAATGTTCTCCTCGTCCACTGTGTATTAGCCAAAACATTGTGAAACAAGTAACTGTTAAGCCTTCAGTACAAGGACATCCAATATGATCTGAAAAGACTTTCATTAACAGTCTCTCTGTCTCTCTCTGTTGATGTTGCTCTCACAATAATCTCAGTTGTTTTCTCTTTCCTGCTGCCTACAGGTCTGAGCTACAATCTCTCAGTGGGATTAGGGAGTAGGTTTTGCTTGTACTACACTGAGTCTTAGCATGCTTGCATACATTTTAATGATATAATGCTATTATTGACTCGGCAAAAGTAATCTGGCATTGAATTACCATATAAACCTTTCAGCAACCTTGTTTTTAAATGCATTGAAAATGAATCTATTGAATGGTCAATAGCATTATATAATCATAATAATGCACTCAAAGGGGTACATTGATGGTAAAACTTCTGTGTGAAGAGATAGATGGAAAAACTCCAGACTTGTGCTTTATGAACCATTAATGCACCATTTTGTGTTCATTATTGTCTGTTCATTGTCAGTGTGTGCTTCCTTTTCAGACAAATTTGTTCTACCATTTCCTGTCTACATCACCATTCCAGTAATTTGCAAACTGATTGCAGTGTAGGATAGAAAGGGTGGCTCCATTATTCCTTTTGATTTGAATTAAGCAGTTTTTTTAGTTTTGTTACACTTTTAACAGTAATATTACACCTGCATGTTCCTCATTACACTCCATAGTTGCAATCACAACTTGTTAAATGTTTGTCAGAATTTCCCAGTTGTCTTTGAACAAATTTTGTTGATGAAACATAGAGTATGTTATAAGTCCTCTGCACTTAATTATAGTTTCATTGGCACTGTTTTAATGTCTACATAACTGGGCTGGACTTCTTCCCTGCGGACTTAGAGTGATGGAGAATTATGCACATTGTCTGTCTCGATTCCATGATTTTAACAAACTCTGTTCTCAGACGTTTTGTTAAGCACACATTAACAGAAGAAAAATGGGAGGGAACCATGTAGAATGGGATTTTTCAACTGTCCATTTCAAAACCCAAACAATAAGATTTGACAGCTTTGGTTTCAGAATACAATCATATCTTGCAGTTCTCCTCATTGATCTCAATCTAAAGACAACAATTATATTTATCCACTTCTTATGAATGATGTAGATCATGGATTTCTGCATAACCTCTGTTAATTCTCGTTTAGGATCACTGGGTTGGTGCAGAATGTGAAAACATAGGACACGCAATGTCCTTTATACAAACCCTTAACTTGAGTTGGAACTTATCTACTATCAGTGAATTGGTCTTAGGCTAAATGACCATCGTTTAAAATTGGAGAGAAATCTCTAAAATTCTCTTTTAGTTTGAAAGCCAATTTTCGCCAGTTCTTGAAAAGAGCCAACACTAAGGCCATGAGAATTTTGAGCCCTCAGGTGCTTTTTTGTGGGAGGAAAACCCTGAGAGACTTGCTTTCCTACACCTCCCAGTGACCAGTGCATAAAGAAATGTGAGGATCAGATTGCATACATTGCCTGTTTTAGCATCTCATTGCTCCAAGGAGCCTAAAAGCAGAGAGAAAAGGAATAAAAATAACCTACGCCTTAAGTATTGCAGACAAAGAGGCTAGTTCTTATTGTAACCATCAATATTCTTTAACCACAGAATGTACTGATTGAACTAACTTTGTATCCATTTTAAATGCTATGCATTTATATTTATGCCACTCTTGAGATGCGGATGATTAGGCCATTACCTAGGAACCATAATGCACCAATAAAGAGCACTGAGGAACTGGGTGACAATAAGTGATTATTGTCACTCAGTGAGAGGAAATGCAATCTACTGTTGGAAACTTTTGTGGTAAGGATAGAGGATAGGTTGTACCTCTGAGTACTGAGCTTCTCTCATGCCTTGTAAATGTATTATGTATTTCCCTTCTTAAAAAGAGCTGAGGGTTTTAGATGTCTGGGGTGCCTTTAGGCAATGAACTTGGATGTTCTTTATTCATGTGAAAGACATGTAACCTGTGTTACAAGGATCTTGCCCATCAAATGAAAGAATACACAAACTCCATTAATTGGGGAGATATTGAGCAAGATATTCACTGCTAAGTGCAATGATTTTAACAGTGGAACTTACAGGTTGGGTTACAGTGCTTTGGGATGTCTTCCCGACGTGAAAGGCGCTATACAAATGTAATTTTTGCTGTTGTTATCAATAATTTGCGAGTTGGGTGAACAATGTGCAAACTCGTATAGATTTCCCTTAATTATTTCATTAAAAAGGAATATAAAGAATTACAGAATCACCTAGAATATTTTCACTAGTTACTCACACGAGTAGAGGCTACTGTGATTTCCTTTGTACATAGTTAATCTACATATAGACGTACGCTTTCAGTAAAATCCCCGTGAAGTGCTTCGAGATGTTTTGACAACGTAATAAGAGGCTATATCAATGCAAGGGTTGTTATTAAAATAGTAATATTTTAGTGGGTTTATTGTACCAAACACTCACTCATTAATGAGATTAGGAACTCATTTGAGCTAATTGCAACCTTGAAAGCTTTTTTAAAAGACGTAGAATGCATAGAATGTGGAGTCCTGTAGCTCAGTGGTTAGAGCACTCGCCTCTCAAGCGCGAGACCTGGGTTCGATTCACGGCAGGGCGAAACCTTGGGCAAGTTTCCTTACTCCATACGCCTAATAATAATCCCTCGAGNAAAAAATAATAAATTGGTCACTTCAATCCACGACTGTTTGTGGGACACTGCTGTGCGCAATTGGCTGCCACATTTCGCCCACAAATATACAGTCAATTCACTTTACAGTATATTCTGTGAAGCACTTTTAGATGTCCAGAAGACTTGAAAAGCGCTATATCAAATGCAAGGATTATTATTAGTAGTAGTAATCGGATGAGATATCAAACCTGTTCAAGTGGACATTAAAGATCACATGGCGCTATTCAGAAAGAGAATGGAGTTTCTCCCAGTTGTCCTGGTCAACAATTCACCCAAATAAAATTGATCATTTATTTCATGGCTGTTTGTGGGACATTGCTGTGCTCAAATTGGCTGCCATGTTCGCCTGCAAACACATAGTCACTCCACAGTAAATCCTGTGAAGCGGTTTGCGATGTCTTGACAACATGAAAAGTCGCTGTATCAAATGCAAGGATTATTATTAATAACCTAGCTCATAATTTTTGAACGTGGTTTGTTAACCCAATAAAGATACTAGTACTCAATGTGTGATTACACTGCAGAAAATCTCATTATAAATGCACAACATCAAATACCCATCACTTTGTGTCAAGCAGAATATTTAATCTATTATGTTGGTTCTGGGACATTTGGAATAATTAAATATTCCTACACGGACTTCATGATGGTTAAATTAGAACTCATTTGAGTGTTTGTTTTGGAGAGTTGACTTCCTGTATCCATGAGTAAGATGATATTCAGTGCTGTATATTAATGTAAAATATAACATATTAATACAAAATATAAAGTAAATTAACTTTACAGTATATTCCGTGAAGAGCTTGATACGTCTCAACGACGTGATAAGACACTAAATCAAATGCAAAGATTATTATTATTAATATTAGAATAAAATCTCATGTCATATTTATGGGTGGACTTCAATGGAATCTTGTAATCTGATGAGAGATTATTTGCATTATTTAGTTATGGCCCTATTTTGTACTTGAACAAATGTGATGCAAATATCCTTTATTAATTCCCCTTTGTGTGTGGCATGTAAAATTGTAAATAATTGTAAATAGTATGTAATATCTACATTATGTGCAACAACATTCTAACTATTTGTGCTCTTTTGCCCCATACCTTCCAATTTTGCCAACAGGTGGAAAGGAAACCATAACGTTAACCGATGCTGCCATTCCTGTGGATCTAAGACCAAAGTCTCCTATGTTGGAATCCGTAGAGCATCAGACACAACCTAAAGGTGAGGCTGACAAAGTATTTAATTTGACAACATAAACAAGATTTTATTCCATTCAGCTTCAGCCTGTTGTCAATAATGTTAGTGTTAGAATAATATTAGAACAATAATATTAGAATAACAACAATAAATTGCATTTATATAGCATCTGTTACATCGGGAGGACATCCCAAGGTGCTGCACAGTTGAGGGTTTGCACCCAAGGTGGGGGTTAGATTTGGGAGGGCTGGGGGCCACGAGGGTGGGGTTGGGAAGATGACTAAAGGCTTTGTCAAAGAGGAAGGTCTTGAGATGGACCTTGAAGGAGGCGAGGCAAAGGTACTGTGGGAAGGAGTTCCAGAGAGTGGGGCAGAAAGATTGAAGGCCCGACCACCAATGGTGAGGCAAGCTAGTGCCTGTTGAGTAGAGGGAGCAAATGGCTTGGTAGGGTTTTAGAAAGTCACAAAAGAAGGGTGGGGCAAGACCATGGAAGGATTTAAAAGTGAGGACAAAGATCTTGAACTCTATTCACTGATATGCGCAATTGGCTGCTGCATTTCGCCCACAAAATATACAGTCAATTCACTTTACAGTATATTCTGTGAAGCACTTTGAGACGTCTCGAAGACGTGAAAAAGCGCTATATCAAATGCAAGGTTTATTATTATATTATTATCATGCACCAGCATGGTTTGGATGAAGAAGCAGCTGCCTTAGAGGAATTCTATAATATTATGTTACTTTGTAATACAATAGCCTCAATGTGCTTATTTGTGGTTAATTCCTACATCTATGGAAGAGGGAAGACCATTTAGTATTGACGTTCAATGTTGATTTGTTTCTCTCTGCCATGTAGGAAGAGCCAGTAAGTCATGTAAAAAACAACAATAATGTTTTTTTAATGTTTAGATCAAATAAGAGATCAAGGAACTCTGGGTCAGCCTGCAACAACCGGGTTGGTTACTGAAGAGGAGGAGCTCAAAGAATCTGAGATAATGCACACGGGAAGATATGACAGTTGTGGAAGTCCGGTGTGTGTATCTTTGCATACAGACTCGCAGGCCATGGATGTTTGTCTGGTAGTGCCTCAATCCTGCTCAGTGGAAGCAACTGACGAATTGGGAAATGAGAGGATAAAAACATCTGAAAAGCTAGTCTCTTTTGAAGTCGACAATGGCTGTAACGACACAAGTCCTTCAGAAGAACAGGGTACAGGGCCACCTCAGAATTGTAGTGACATTTCATTTCTGTTTGAATCTCCACTAATCAGTCCAGATGGAATTGGCGAATCTGATTTTGAGAGTGAACAGTGGACTCTAAAGAACTCATTAACAGAACAACCTGACACTGTAGAAAACAGCATAGCTGACTGTGTATCATCAACCGTTAGTACCAAAGAAACATCCAGTCCCCAATCACACATCCTCTTATCCAGTGATCGGCCAATGTTAGGGGGCACAGAAGTATGTACTGCTGAAATCCATGGAGAAAATATAGCTTAACCTAATCGACATTTGATCCTTTGGTTTACATCTGCACTGTAAGATATAATATCTTATTAAAAATATTGTAAACCTCCATTCCTGATTTCATCTTTCACACAAGAGCAGTAAATCTTTACCATTAGCAATAACTTTACAGGACATGGATGCTTTGCATTTTTGTGAATTAAAATCTTTTTAAGCACATAGCGTTTTTAGCTCACCTACTCTTTATTACTGGACAGGGGACTTCGTTGGTGAATTTACCTATTGAAATGTGAATAGGTTATTCATCAGAGCACAGATTCTTAGTCCACAAATGCCTTGTTTAGAAGAACATGTTATTTTCACCAGTGAAGGTGAGGTTTCTTCTTTTTAACATAGTGAGACATGTGTTTCTGAACATTTTATGCAACAGATCAGAGGACAGTATTCAGCAAGCAAGTGCTTCACTTTGCAGAGAGGCTGTCTATTCATGATCATCACTGTAGGAAGCAATAACAACAACAACAAATTACATTTGTGTAGTACCTTTCATGTTAGGAGGACGTCCCAAGGCACTGGACAGTCAGGGAAGCAGATTGAGGGGTATAAACAGAGAGTAATATGGACTTTAAAGTGGCATGTAGCACCAAGAGAAAGGCAGGAGAGTGAGGATTTCTTAAATCTGGCTAGTTTCTATTTTAAGTTATTTTCTTAGTCTGACAATTCCTTATGCCTACAATGCTCTACCAGCATTGCTGAAGCATATTGAAATGTAATAGTTTCTCTGCTCCCCCAGTGCAGCCACAAAGGTGTAATATTCATAGGCTAAAACACTAGGCTTCTGGCCTTTTGCTTTTGTAACTTGATAAAGCAAGGAACCTTGAAGAGAAAAAAGTGACACTGTTGACATTGCAGATTTTTAACACCTTCATGAAAACCAGGGTGGTCATAGCTGGAGGATTGCTTCATTAAGCTAATGTGAATGATGTGCTTGTTAGACAAATTAAACCACACACTTATTGATCAGCAAATATCTTCCATAGTAACTTAAAAACCATGGATTATGCCAAGTGAGGAACGTATTAATGAAATGTATTGATTAATAATTCACATTCAGAGTTTAATACACAGATTTAAATGTAAGTCTTCGAGGAGCAGACTAGTCACTGGGGGCAGGGATTCTTCCCACTTGGCTGCTGTTAACCCTGCAAGTCAAAGCCCTCAAAAGCAGGGTTGTCCTACCTCGATCAGGAGCAACAAGCTTGCAAGACAGTGCTGCTCATGGCAAGTTATGGGGTTTTAGCTGTTAAACACCAGCAGAATCCCAATGCACACTGTGTCCCCTAAGTCTTGGCTCTCGCAACCTGCATTCAATACTTTCCGGAATGAGGTAAACAGGGTGGATCTCTCCAGGGAGAGAATGCACATTCCATTCCAGACACAGGGAAATTTCTATGTACAGGTGGTATACATATATGTTTAAATATCGTAATGGATTTCCACATGCGTCAAGACATTCAGCTAACGCCAAATAAGTCATCGCTTAAGGTGTAAGGAAGGGTTAAAGTCAAAGCATTATACTAACTTATTAGTAATGTGTTCAATTGACCATATAAGTATGTAAATTAGTTTTACTATAATATTAATCATTACTACAGATCATGGGTCCCGCAAATGCCCTTTGTTTCACTGGTTGATGGAAGTTTCATTATGGACTGTATCTGATAGATACATTTGTGTAAAATGATATTTCTGTTAACTTTTATGGTCTTGGAAGATACAGAGGACCTATTCACTTTTGTATACCCTATGGGTTTCACAATAACATTTGCATTTAAATAGTGCCCTTCACATGGGGCAGCATCTCAAAGTGCTTAGTCTTCAGGTGGGGAGGAAACCAACATGTTAAAGAGATATTATTGCACTTCAGACAATGCTTAAATTGCTCAATTACTGAAAGGACCAGGAATAATGTGCTTGGAAAAACTTATTGATATGCTGTCTTGTTGGGGGAAGTGAACATTCACTACACTTAAAAATATGTTGTTGAGCACTTTGAGACCTTCAAAGTATAAGGTTTTGAGTTAAATATAATTAATATATTATTTGCTGGATGAAGTGTTATGAATACTCTAGAGCATACAATAATGTCATTAAATCAGTATTTTTTACATATGAAAAATAGCAGATTGGATTTACAATGCTGTGTTCCTGGGTGCCCGGTCTCTCCTCGTGTTTATAACCAAATTAGCTGGTTCATTTAACCTTCAACAATATAGTAATATTCGTGTTGGCAGGCATTTCTACAGACTATATTTTATTGACATTAAACTTAATGTGTGTGAGTATATACGATGACAGGACTTGCATTTTATTCATTTATTTAGTTATTGTTAAGACCTTAGTAAACAATTATTTTATTATTGCTCTGCATTGGGCCAAAATGTATTTAATTTCTTCTTAGTTTATTTTGCAAGAGGTTTGTTTATGTCTTACCCAGAATTGTTGACTATCTGAAATGTGGCAGATGTAGCAGATAATAATTGCAGATGTCTACATGAAGTTGCTTTAAAGCTCTGGACTATATTGAGTCTGAATGGGATAAATCATTAAATTATTTACCAAGGGTTGCACTCTTCTGAACTTGTGTTTGACCTTCAAAACATTTTTCAGGAAATATTTTTAAGCTGATGAAACAATAATAAATTACATTTATATAGTGCCTTTAACTTTGGGAGGATGTCCCAAGGTGATGGGCAGTCAGGGATTTGGACATAAGAACATAAGAATTAGGAGTAGGAGTAGGCCATTCGGCCCCTCGAGCCTGTGCCCCGCCATTCGATAAGATCATGGCTGATCTTCAGACCTAACTCTAATTACCTGTCCTATTCCCATATCCCCTAATCCCTCTATTTTTTAAAAAATCTATCAGTCTCAGCCTTGAAGATGTTCAAGGACTGAACATCTACAGCCTGTTTCCTCAACTCTGTTCTACAAGGCTGACCCTTAACCTGAGCTGAGGGGTTGGGATCAGGGTGGGGCGGAGAGCAGAGAGGGTAGGAGGGTGGCTGAAGGCAGGGTCAAAGAGGAGAGTCTTGAGACATGGCTTAAAGGAGGCAAGGGAGTTAACAAGGTGAAGGGACTGTGGGATGGAGTTCCAAAGGGTGGGGGCAGAGAGGCTGAGGCCCAACCACCAATGGTGAGGTGGGCCGGTGGGGGTGGGGGAACGAGATGCTGATACTGCTGTAGACATTTAGGATGAAAATGTATGCTTTTTGAAGCTTTAATTTCAGGAGTCTTGTAGCTCAATGGTTAGAGCACTTGCCTCGCAAGCGAGAGACCTGGATTCGATTCCCAGCAGGGCAAAACTTTGGGCAAATTTCCTTACTCCACATGCCTGATAATAACCCTGATAATAATCCCTCAAGAAAAAAAAATTATAATTTGTTTACTCAATCCACGACTGTTTGTGGGGTACTGCTGTGCACAATTGGCTGCTGCGTTTCACCCACAAATATAATTAATTCACTTCACAGTATATTCTGTGAAGCACTCTGAGACGTCTAGAAGACGTGAAATGCACTATATCAAATGCAAGGATTATATTAGTAATTTACAGCTAGATTTATATTCTGATTTATATTATGCATCTGTGTTTACAGCACTATTTTAGGTATCACTGCAGCAACTATTTACAGATACTATTTTTTGTGCCCCATTCCCTCTTCATTCATTCTTCATGTACAAACCTACACTACTATTTTACTGTAGAGCATGTCAAACCTTAGTCTGATGTCCACACACACTTCCAAAGAGCAGTCACTGGAGCCAAATCAATGGGGAAAAACCTGAGTGAACGTTTTCCCCTCTCCCTAACTCCAGGACACTGAAACCAATCGGAACAGTTCCACCTCTTCCCTAGGTAACTGCTACTAACTCAGCACAGACCAGGTATCAAACATGGGGTCTTCCTGATCTTTGTGGCCTAATATTTGACCATGGTAATAATCCTTGCGTTCTGTATCACACTTTTCACGTTAGGAGGACGTCTCAAAGTGATTCATGGGATTTACTGTAAAATTTAGTGATTGTTTATCTTGCAGAAGATTTACAAAGTGTCCCACAAACGGCCATGAACTGAATGTACATTGTTCTACAACACTGTACAACATTTATCCATTGTGCCAATGGGAGAGTTGTATCTTTTGTCTTCAGTCTACCTCTGATTATCACATTGAAGGGTTAATAGTACCTCTCTGTCCTTCCACCCTTCTCTGATTAATTTTACAGAGCTTCCCCCAATTAAAAATAGTGGGACTTGTAATGACAGGATGGACTCCCAAAGACCTCTAACAGAATGTTAGCACTAGTATTCTCAGCAAACATCCACACAATTGCAACAGTCAAAATTGGATTTTTTTTCCCGCTAATTGCAGTTTAACAGATTTTCATTCAGGATTTAAAAGAAATCCTTCAAATCTCAAAAGTCGTCGCATGCTGAGAAAAGTCTGTCACTTTATTTCCAGCATTTTGTCAGATTTTCAGGCCTGTTCTCAGCTGAAAACCTGAAAGCAGAATGTCAGCTACACTCGCGACTTATGATTTGCTATATAATAATAATCTTTGTATTTTATACAGCGCCTTATCATGTCTTTGAGATGTATCAAAGCGCTTTGCAGAATATACTGTAAAGTGAATTGACTGTATATTTTTTGGGTGAATTGCGGCAGCCAATTGCACACAGCAGTGTCCCACAAACAGTCATGGATTGAGCAACCAAATTATTTAAAAAATGTATATTTTTGCTTGTTATCAGGTGGTGTTTTGCTTTTGGAACTTTTGCTCAGCCCAAAAGTCCAACAAAATTTTGGAAAACAAAATGCCAGGCTTTCCTCAAGCTTTGCTGACTTGTGGCATTGAATTTATTTTTGTTTTCAAATCTCCAAATAGTCCAAAATTCACAAATTAGAAGTTCCAGTTTAATGCAATGATTCTGACTAACAAATCTGGCAATTTAGACTCTAATGAAAATCTTTAGCCAAAAAGGAACCTTTTTATATACAGTATATATAAAAGACACCTGGATGTTTGGCATGGATATGTTGCATATTTCAGTAGTATACAGAAAAGGAAATGCTTCATGTGTTTTTCTATGCAAACCGTTATTACTCGGTGTTCCTCTTCTGTGCAAGCATTTGAATGTAAATAGTCCATGTGGAACTTTG